TATGGTATTTTTTTCTTAGTAAATTTACCCTACGTGGAGGATTGTGTGCTTTCTTAATTAAAGACATAGTACTTGTGCACACTTATTTTAGAGGATCGCTTACTCACGAGGCTTGCATGAAATATTTCGCACAAGCTGAAATTTTTTCTGTTTCGCCAGGGCACGAAATCCGCGAACTAATAATAATTAACAAGCCGAAAAAATTTCGTTCTGGTATTTGAAGGTGCATAATGCTCTGTGTTCTATTATAAAAGTCGCGAAGAAAGAAATCTTAAGCTGCTAAAATTTAAAAATATTACTTTTTTCTTGGTTTTCCAAACAAAATTAATACTTGATCATTGCTCACAACATTTCCTATAGAAGTAGAATGCAGTGCTTTTTTGTCAATATAAATTACTTAATTTTTAAATATGAAATGTATAAATTGTCTAGTTTTTAAGCATATGAATAGTATATACAAAGGCTATCACTGAGTTCATGTTAGAATCTCATGGCAACATTAGTTTCAATAAAATTTACATGCCAGTTCTTGAAATTTAAAAAAAAAAAAAAAAAAAAAAAAAAAAAAACCATAAGGTTATTAAAAATACATACTAATACATATATATAAAAAAAGACCTTCAATTTTGTTGAAAATGGACGTTTCAACTAAATAATCAAAAACATTTTACTGAGTAATTGCATTTGTATATTTAAGAGCGAATCTCATCCACAAAACGTTTTTATGAAACGCCATAACTGATGGATTGAAGAAAAGTTCAAAATGAATAGTGGAAGAAAAAAAGGACCGTTTTCCGAAATAAGAAATATTCAGATGCAGTACAATCGGGTGATTGCGCTTATTTACAGTTCTATCCGGATGTTGTTAGAATTTCCGAGATTGTGTTAACCCTTCAGGCGTTTTTTGATTATTATTTGTTTTCGCCCTTTGTTGGAAGAACATTTTGTTCAGTTTATTTAATGGGTATTGTTAGTTTAAAATTTAAGTCAGCCATTTTACACAGTTCATTTTTCCAGAAATCTTATTCCGAAGCATTTAAGCATTCAGTGGTTATTTAAATGGCAATGACACTCGGCATTAAGAAAGGCGGAATCATCAATACTTGGTAACAAATAAACTGATAAAAATACTTTTAGTCATACATTACGATTAAATTGTCACATTCTTAAGCCATCCGTTATTTAGATTAGAGAATAATACCACTACCCTTCAGACATTGGTCACTGGATGGAATTTTGGGGAGTTAATTACTTGAAAGGCCAAGAAAACTGGAACAAAATGTTTCATTAGTGAGACAATTCATTCGGCAAAAAAACTGAAAATCTAAATGAGAGTTTCTGAAACTTTTCTTCAATGTCAAAATTTCTAAGATATCCTTTACCATACTGTTATATGTAGAACTAGAATAATTTTTGCAATAAAAGTGGGCACAGTGGATATACTTTAGCAGCATGTGTTACGTACTACACACATGGCATATTCATCGATAGGCTTATTTTTTAATCAATACGTTGATGAATATGTCATGTTTCTTATAGTGCTGCTCATTATAAACATTTCCCGCCTTATTATGACCCTCTCGAACACTCAAAATTTGACATGAATTTTAGTTTATTTTAATGTAGGAAAGGTTAAAAAAGACAAAAAAAAAAAGTTATAAAAATACAGTGATTTTTTAAACTCCTTTTACACCCCCTAAACTTAAAAAATACAAAATGACACTAAAAATGAAAATAATACTTATTTAGTAAAAGAATGAGAGGTTTTCCGATATAATCAAAGTTTCTAAGCCCCCTGTTAGATTTAAGTGTATTTCTATCATGCCCCTTTCCCGCTAGGAGGCGCATAAATTAATTTTTGTTTTCGTTTTATAGTAGAAAATAGAGTAACATTTTACTAAATAAAATAAAAATTAAGTTTACGCATAAATTAATTTTACGAATAATGGATCTATATCGTTTATACTCAAGATACAGTATCATAATTATCTAAAGTAGTTCTTTTATTAAAACTCAATTTATATTATTTTAATCATTTCATTAGTTTTACACTTCTACCTTTTAAAATTTTAAATTGATTAATTTTTACATGTAGTTTCTCCTGTTTTTTATTTTACTTCTCTCTTTAAAATTGAGTTCGGTTTTACTTCCATAATTATTAATTCGAAATATGGCTATAATCTTTAGAGCATCAGATATCAGTGAATTTATACATTCATTTTCTATTTTCCCAACATACATCCTCTGTCTATTTTATAAGTGCCATCGTCAATATAAACAATAGAATCCGTATGGTAATATAAGATTTTATGTCCTAATTTATCTAACATTTCACAGTGCCTTATCATAGCAGAACTAGTAGTAAAAACTGCCATATATATATAATTTATTACTAAAGAAATATTGTTATATTATCCAATATAAATTATGTAGAAGTATCAGAAAAGAGGGAACCCATATTAGGAAGTTTAATTCCGAAAATTGTGTTTTAAAGTAACTTGGATGTAAATAATGAGAAAGACGTTTTACGGGGACTTGAATTTAAATCATGAATAACAAAATTTCAATCTTTGAAAATAAATTAATAATCAAAATTAATAATTAATAATTAAAAACAAGTAATTATCGCTATTGATCGGAAATTAGTTGACTTCTCAAGGGGAACAAACCAACTCACGTTTAATGAACGATAATTAATGAATGCGAAGGTGTTTAGTCTTTTACTCAAGTAAGAATGATGCCAAACTGGCAAATATACATGTATTAAAATTATCTTTCACATATTATTTTTTCATTTTATAATACATTTTCACACAATTGTCATTTATAAAAATCATATTTAAATCCTTTACAGTATCATTAAATACGATTTTATAAAAATCTTCCAATTGTGCAATATTTTCATTTATTTTCTTTTTTCTTTCATAAAATCTGCCCCATAGCGAATTTAAGCAAATTTTAGCTATATCCCTCATACCTAGATTTTTTTTTTCTATTTTCTATAATCTGTGACAATTCTTTTATATTCTTTATTTCTTAAATTTTTAGACCATTTTATCAAATGTTTCTAATTTGATTTTTTTAAAACATTTAACATATTCTTTGAATAAATCATTCGTTTTCTTTTTAAAATACCAAACTTCACATATATATTTAAAATTTTGTATTCTTTTTCAATGTCTAAGTTAACTTCTGTTATCCGAATACCTATAAATCAACTTTCATAGTATGTTGACATTCTCTACACTTATTCTTTTCAACAATAGTTTTAAGCTCTATTTCTGAAATGACACCTCTGGACGTGTTCAAAGAATCTTCTGGAGACATACTAATAGAGCGCTTGCCCATATTTGTTACTTTTGGAGAGGATTGTGCACCGATAAACAGACATCCTGAATGGAGCTTTTTTATGCTTTTTGGCTTGTTAGCTGAGATAGCAGTAGTCATTCATTGACAAGGAATGGTGTGGGGGGGGGTTTCTGGTTGACCAGTGATGATTAAAAACTTAGGACATTTGATACTCTCTCTATTAACGGAAGAAGTATATATTCTTTCAATAGTTCCAAAAGTGTTCGTTTCCATGTCATTGTTAGAAGAATTTAACGTTGCCATATTACAAATAGAAAAGATTCAGGTCCGGCCGCTCTACTCACCGTAGAGTTCTACGAGGGAACACAGATCCCTGAGTTAGAGTTAGTGGGAGTTATAAGCAAAGTGAAGCCCTGCAGTCTGTTTTCCCGAAAGCTCATCCTCAAGGCCACAGATACGAAGGACAAGTGACCAGCCCATTGATACTAGTCGGGGCAGCTAAGTGCATCCCATTTCAGCCGAAGCAGAGGTCAAAGTAGTGTGTTTGGAACAGTACCCCCCCCCTCAACTACCAGGATCCTTCTTTCCAGCCGTGAGACTCTGTACGCTCGGCATTGGTAAGATAGAAACAAAACAGTTGTAACTGCAGTTCGCGGTGAGCTACATCCTTCATAAGAAGAAACCATAAGGGAGAAGTGAAAGCTAAGAGCAGAGGGAAAGGAAAAGAGAAGACATTACTGGGGCTCTGGGATTGTGACACCATCTTGAAGCTAATCCTCTGAAGGATCTCCGTCTGCTGTGTTTTAGCAGGATGTATTGGAATGACTTTCACTCCTAGGGAGCACTACCAGGAGCTAGGCCAACGCCGCCTGGAAGAATAAGACCTGAACTCGAGCGTTTGACTGGTCAGTGACTTCACGATTAGAAAACCGACTCGAAGCAGGAGAAAGTAAGCTCAAAACAATACTTCAGCAACGAATCCAAGTTGCGCTATTGTAAATTCAAAACCTAATTTTAAATTAAAATTTCCGAAACATTTTGGAACACACATTACACACGTAATCCAATTACACACGCTAATAATATTAATGAAAGTGTATATGACAGCTTATTTCCTTTGAAAGTTTCTATAATGGCTTCTGGTTTGTTGACCGATATTACAGCTGAACATGTGTGGCTCACCACAGAGAGATGACTTCATGAAAAACTTTCTGAACTGCCTAATATTTGTTCTGTTTTGGATTGGAGGGAAAACGTTTATGTATATGAAAGATGGAACTTATTACAAGATCAAAAACTGTTACCTAATATTGCGCGAGAACTGCGATTTGTCAAGTACTTAAAAGTTGAAAAATTCTTGGTTAAAATATGTTGGTTGTTCTAAAATATGTTTCGTTCTTGGTTGAAATTGCTATATCCATTCTTAAAGTCATAACAGAAATTTCTATCCGCGAATAATTACAGAGGGTGAAATATTTTTTAAACGCATTACAGTTACATTTAAATAAAATGTTTACCTTGCAGAGTAAGGTGTAGAATGTTCACTTAAATTACTGTGAACAGTGGACTAGGGATGTAATTTTTGGGTACCTTCAGCAAAAACACAAAAGTCTACATTCAGATCATCATAGAAATCAATTATTTAATAGTTTTGCAAAATTCGAACATCGCATGCAATAAAAGAATACAAATGAGGAAAAAAAATTTATTAAAAATAATCATTACAAATCTGTCCAGCAGGTGATCGTTTTATAGCATTGCCAACTTCAATTGCTAATAAATACATTAAAGCTTTTAAGAAGCTAACAATCCTATGAGACATACAATATACACATAAAATGTAAAATGGTAAAAAAAAAAAAAAAAAAAAAAAAAAAAAAAAAAAAAAAAAAAATTAATGGGTTGTAAAAACACACGGTGACAATGAAGTTGCGTGAACATTTATAAGCATATGATTTATTTTCAAATGAAAACCGATAGCTCATTTTGCTGCAACTGCTTATATTCTGTAAAAAATAGTTATAAAGATAAGTGGGCTTCGAGTGCATAAATGAATTATAAATACGAAAAATACTCTGGAGTATTTAATTCTGAATAATATATTATCATTAAATTATAAGTGAATCCAAATTTTCCAAGTTCAAGTATATTGAAGTAATGTAAATATCACGAATTATAGATTCGAATATTGAATTTATAAAAATTACGATCAGGTACTGCAAATATTTAGTTTTATACGCTATTAAGTACTGTAAATTAAGGGGCTTCTTTCTCCATTCATATTGAGCACTGAATGTTCACCAAACCTGAGCATTGAATAATTTATATTATTCCATTTTGTTTCATAAGAAACACATTCTTACATCCATTTTTGAGAACTAGGGATAATATAAGTAAAGCAGTAGAATTCATGTCTTCAAGTCTTAAAATATTTAATAAACTTACATAAAAATACATTATTACAAATGCACTAGAATGTTTGACGATATCACACTTAATATGTAGAAAGTGCAATAATCAATAATTTATTTATGAGCAATTTTCCCGTGTTGTAATCTGCATATTTCAAGGTTTCAGAATTCTTTCCACGTTCAACTGAAAACTCCTATGCACCAAGTAATACTGTCGCAATTACTAAATTACTTTAATTTTAAAGCTGTCCTTTCAGCAAACCTACATTATACCCTCCTGACTAAAATTTCTTTTCACTTTTAAAAAAAGGAAATGATTCTATGTATTTCATTGATAATTTAATTAATAGTTAACAAATTCTACGTATTTATTCATTTCTTTCAAATCATTAGATACAAAATAATGATCATTATACATAATTATTTTAAAGCATTCACAGATAAAACCTTTAAAATAAAATTTATTTAACATTATTCAATATGAAACTCCTGTCATATCACGTTTATGATGTATATCATCACGTATACCATAACTATTTATAATTCATTTTGTGCATTTGTACTTACTTTCCAATTAAAAGTATATGAAAACACAGCACTTAGAGATGATCAATTGATTAGCTTTCACGACATATATAAGACATTCATTCAAAGAACATTTTAAAAATTAAGATGATAAAAGTAATCAAATATATGTATACAAATCAGAACAATATCAGTGATAAAAGCAAACTTCCCAAGCGTTCTTATACCATATATTCCGATTTATCGAAAATGTGAAAACTAAATCGTTTGCACACAGAAGCCACGAGTTAAATGTCTCAAACAAGAACTTGGATGATAAAAATACTGTGAAAGCGACAAAGTTTATGTTTGCCAAGCTCATAATGATCAAGAAATGTCTTCTGATGTACAACGGAACTTGGTTGTAAGATGTAATAAGTAAACCTTAATTTGTTAATAATACTGAACAAGCTCGCAAACAGTCAACAAAATGACTAATGAAACATCAGAGACGGTTCTGCGGTGGATAAGCTAAAACATTTGAGCCTCGTGGAATCCTCTTGGCACATAGTAAAGTTCATTCCTAATGTCTTACTCCCGTGTCATACGTGACCGGGTGGTCCTTGGCACAGGTTTTTGCAATACATTTACTCAAGCGAGGTAGGTCAACATAAAACATAAGTTTCTCTTCAGCCTGCGTATGAGTCGCTAACAACAGTATAAGACCTAGATGAGTCGAACGTAGACCAACAGTCCGATCCATGCGACATCGTCATTTCGTTGCAGCTGAGTTCGGATCTGATGAATCTCTTCTGGACTGTGAATTTAGTTTGAATGTCTTCTAGTCTACGTTCAACTTCTCCTGGAAGAGGGCGTTTGGATGGGTTCCCCTGCCAACATTCACTCATAAGTTCCCAGCAGTCCTCATCGAAATAAGGAAGTCTTTCAGGTCTCATGCCTAGAAAAAGAAATTTTTTTAAAAAAACAATCAACTTAACATAATAAAAAATCAACTTAATTATTTTTGTAAAATTATCACTATTGTGACATGAGATCAGAACCAAGAAGAAAGCGCATTGTTATAAAGAAGATACACACGTAGTAGATTATGTCTCAGTTTCTGCTGACTGAAATTTACAACGCTTACAAACTGAATGAAGCACTAGAATGTTTAATGAGTATTTGAGACATGTTGATGGTATTCCGTCTTTTTGTTTACTGTCTTTTCTTAAATTTTATTTTGCAAGTATAATTGTACCGCTTTCTGTTCCCTAAAATATTCTCCTCAAATAAAACATCAGAGACATTTTTGTACCAAAATATATTCTTTCCAAGAAACGTAGTTGTTCAATTTAATTTCTTCTAATATATTCTAATATATAAGCTAACATCAAACTTCATATAAGCTAACTTCTAATATATAAGCTAACATCAATTTTATAGCTTGATGTTTCTAGGAGTCTCCTCTTGGCATGATATGCCAAGTTTCCACCTCTTTCCGCCCTCTCGTTTCATTACTTTGAATTACCTCTCATTTCATTACTTTTTCATTTTACATTTATCGTTTCGTTACTTTGCTCGTTTTATTGTGTCTTCTCCGGCTATTAGCTCCAAAACTAAGCAGAGAATTTAGTTGTAAAATATGAAACGTACATTGTTATTTGTGGGGTTTAAGGATCTGGAAACATAAGTGAAGAAAACACAGAAATTTGGATAGAAAAAGATTAGAACAATGAAAGTTCAGATTTTACCAGACAGAATAGTCCTAGTGCAGTAGATTCAAGCGTACAGAAGAGCGCGAAGAAGATAATAAAAGTTGGGATACAACATGTGAAATATAAAGAATGTCACGATGGTGCACAGGAATGTATTCTCTCGCCGTCTAAGTTCATGAGATTTAAGCCAATTATGGGTAGCAGGGTCGCTACGTAAGTATGAAAAGTCTTTTCATGTACTATTTTTACATCTGGAAGGATTCCTCTACATGCAATGACATTTGGAAGGATTCCTGTAGATGCAATGGCATCTGAAAGGATTCCTCTGCATACAATGCCATCTGGAAGAATTCCTCTACATGCAATTACGTCTGGAAGAAGTCTTGTATATGCAATGTCATCTGGAGGAACTTCTTTACATGCAATGGCATCCAGAACTTGACAAGTTAAAAGTGTCTGAACTTTGCATATCGCTAACCTAATTAATGCATTTAGATGTTAGATTATACAAACGAATAAATTGAATTCTAATTTAATGATATACTGCTTTTGCAGAATTTTCTAAAAGAATGCCATTATGGTTCTCAAGGCAGAAGGGAAAACTGAAAACTTGGGTAAATTTCCTTATGATTTTAATAAGGCCGCATTTTAAACAGCACAATGTTTATCGTTTATTTAACACCTCTTAGCATTTCAATTTTCTGAGTAGCACCTTTCAATATACGTGTATGAATTACAACTATGTGGATCCTCTTGAACTACCCGTGCGTTTTGATTCCCTGTAAGTAACATACATTAATAGTATGAATAACTACAAATGCATGGAAAGGCTTCCTCAAAGTACTAGTTATTTCAGTTACACGCAAGCTGATAAATTATTTTGACCTATATGTTTAACAGCACTGGCCTTTTTTAAATGAAGTCCAGCATCTGAACGAACTCGCTTTGTAATTTCCGTGTTTTTTCCAAATAGAATTAAGAATATGGACTAATATCCCACCATGAAACCAGCATTCCTTTCTAAAGTAGATAGTGTTTGAGCACTTTAGTCTATAAAATAACCTAAAATGAAACTATTCCTAAGATAATCTAAAAATTATATTATTTTGGTTTTGGCTAAAACTTCCATTTAAGAAATCAAACTACATTAAGGAGACAGTTTTATTTAAGAAACAATAAATAAGATAAAACTAAGTGTCGCAAATAAAGAGGGCACGTTTTTTTAGCACACAGCATTCAAATTACATAATTATTAATTGCTAATGTCAGAGGTTATTAATAGCATATTAACTGAACCGAAAACATTCTACTAATTCAGCAAGCAATTTGAAAAACACACATTTTAATGCCATTTGGAATGATATAAAACCAGAAGGAACGTCCAAAAACAATGTTTATTTCCCAAACTTACCTCTTTTAATGAGAGAAAACAGATCCTCTTTGTGTGAACACTGTTCGTAAACGTAAGGCAGTCGAGGTTGACCAGAACAAAGGTACCAAAATAGAACTCCGAAGGCATAGATGTCAACGCTATTATCGTAGTGACCTGTTAAAAGCTCAGGGGCCATATGAATGGGAGTTCCTACTACGCTTCCAGACATCATCACTTCCACTTTGCAAAAGCCCAAGTCAGAGAGTTTGGCTCCGTTTTCTTTATCAAGCTTTAAAAAATAAAAATATGATCGAGATTAAAATACAAATGAACAGATCACTGTAACAGTATACTATTTCCTATGAAAAGCACTTAAATAACGATATTATTTAAGAAAATATTTATTATGCTCAATTTTCGTGAGATCACCTTCTGATGTTCCACAAACACCTAGTCTCTACGGTTACAGCTGAAAACATCGCGGACGAAAACGTCACGGAGAAAACAACGCAAGGCGAAAACGTCGTGCTACAAAACATCGTGGAAGAAAACATCGCAAAGAGAAAACATCGCAGGTCTAAAACATCGTGGTACAAAATATCGTCGTCGAAAATAAAGCCGTTCAAAAACTTCGCAGTTTGAAAACATCGTCTTCGAAAATATCGTAGTAAAAAATAAAGTATCTACAAATCATCGCATGATGATAACATCGCAGATATGCTTTATTTTTTTCAGGCTTTTTTTAGATTATACTTTTCATGAAAAATTACTAGTAAAAGCTTAAGTAATTTATTAATGAACTTTGTTAGTTAACTATGTCGTTTTAAAATTCTGTTAAGTGCTATAAGTTGCATTACTTTTCTATGCTTAAGTTTCCTTCTTACTTTATCAGCAAAAATGTATTAGTTAATAAAAAATAAAGTAAAAATTATCCTTCTTTCCATCTTGCGCTCAATCATTATAGGAATATCCATTTACAAATACTATTAAAGCCTGAAAAAAATAAAGCATGTCTGCGATGTTATCGTCATGCGATGATTTGTAGATACTTTATTTTTTACCAAGATATTTTCGACGACGATGTTTTTAAACTGCGAAGTTTTTGAACCGCTTTATTTTCGATGACGATATTTTGTACCACGATGTTTTAGAACTGCGATGTTTTCTCCCACGATGTTTTGTAGCACGACGTTTTCGCCTTCCGTTGTTTTCTCCGCGACGTTTTCGTCTGCGATGTTTATGCCGCGATGTTATCGGCGGACACCAGTCTCTACAGAAGATATCTCATGAAAGGCATATTGCACCTTATCAATCTATTATTCCTCAAGTGCAGTATTAACACTGCTACTCTACAATACATTTGCAACTTCAGCATTATTACTCTAAAACTAACTTTGAATTTTATACAACATCATTAGCACTGTTTCATAGCCTACTTTTGCAAATTTATTCTGCGTCTACAGCCTTTTTACCGACTCACGCAAGTGAGCGACGCATGGAAAAAAAAATCTCTGAAAGATCCTCCCCACGAAACGAAGTAAACAAGAAACTGAGATAATTTCATCACTTTCAAATAAATAAACTACTAAAAAATGCGATATATTGCTTTTAGTAACACAGTGTTTTGGATTAAAATATAAATTAAAGATTTTATAGCAGGTAATTGCTGCAGGTATCAGAACTGACAATTCACGAAGCAAAGTGGATGTCATTGCTGTGGCACTGTACGGTAGCGTCATTCAAAAACTGGAAACATCAGATTTCAGAAGTTTCTAACATCAAAAGTTTAACAAGCATTAGTTTAAAACTTTGTTAAATAGCTTGAATTTTTTTTTTAAATTTACGAAGATGATTTCTACAGATTGACAGTGTTTCCTTCCAAATGATTTGCATGTACATTATAAGGTATTTCTCCCACTTTCCTAGCGTGCCTTCGTGGTGTAACGGTAACACGCTGGGCCGGTATTCCAGAGGTCCGTGGTTCAAGTCCCGGCGAAGGCCGTTGCATATTTTTCATCTTTTCTGCTTCCAATTGACCTAATGACTCTACAAGTGGCGCACGAACTAAAAGGGTTGTAGATGATGATTCTCCACACCCAGGATTTGGCGACTAGGTCCCCTAAAACCCATTGTCGCTCTTTGAAAAGGGGAGTATATAAGGTATTTCTCCCACTTTCCTAGCGTGCCTTCGTGGTGTAACAGTAGCACGCTGGGATGGTATTCCAGAGGTCCGTGGTTCGATTCCAGCGAAGGCGTTTGCTATTTTTCATCTTTTCTGCTTCCAGTTAACCTAATGACTCTACAACATGCAATAATTTTATTTCCCGCATAATAGGAAATGCGGCACAATATTATTTATATCTGTGCTTAATTCCAAAGAATAACACGTTAAGCAGGCGCGCTAGTGATGTGGAAAGAGAAAAAGACTCCTAAACACTGGCAGTCCATTCCAAGTTCAAATCCCCGAGAACGGGAGTTTTCGTAACCTTAGCCAAATTTAACCTGAATAGCCAGTTAGTTGTCCTTAGAAAGTCCTCAAAAAAGACATCTCTCACCTCAGACAGGACTAGTATGCTTTGCCATAATCCAATCTCAAATCTTTGGGCTTTTAATTTCTCGAAACAACGAAATTTATGCTACCAACTCAAAAGTAAAATGTAAAAAGTAAAAAAAAAAAAAAAAAAAAAAAAAAAAAAAGTAAAAAAGTAAAAAAGTAAAAAAAAAGGTAAAAAAAGTGTCTTAATCAAAAGTAAAAGCTGAAAAATAATTCAATCTACGTACCAGCACGTTATGTAATTTAATATCTCGATGTACTAAGCCTTGACTATGCAGGTAACGGATCCCTTGAATAACATCAATTGCAACCTGAAAATACATTTAAAAGAAAACATTACGAAATTTTAAGAGCCTGAAGAAAAATAATTTAAAAATCAAACTGTTTTACATGCAGAAATATACTCTATACATTGTTTTTATGAGTAATACTCAACTATATCTGGAAGTGCTTAGTTTTATGCTCAGGTGAGAAATAAACAGTAAAACATTCAAAGTATTAAAATTAATCCATATTTTTCCAATGCATCACGTGTTCAGGTATTCAAGGCGACTTTTACAACGAACAATGAAAATATTTTTATGACAGTGAAAGAGTAATAAAGTTTTTTTTTTTTTTTTTTTTTTTTTTTTTTTTAATGCAACGTCGAGGGTCTCGTACAACAAATGAGACACTGACAATCTCGAACCGTATTACAAAATTTAGTAATGACACTGAAGCCTTTTCCCAGATAAGCTATGAACAAAAATATATAAAAATATATCAGCCTGAGAAGAAATACACGAAAGTTACTTTACGGCAGTAGACTCTCAAAACAGACTTTAAGTGGGATTTGGTCATGAAAACAATGCAGCAAGATCTAACACCCACACACACACACAAAAATATATATATATATCTGATGTATCACCTTTAGTCGTAGCTTAAATAATCAGACGATAAGTTTAAAAAACAGGATCCATTTATTATTATTCAGGAGAAATAGCAGTTACAAAAATCAGATATCCGGAGTAAATAAAAACAATTACTAATAACTTTTTGTATGAAGTTTACTGCATCGTGACATTTAAGAAAAAGCCCCGATATTCCTTTTTCGAGTCTTTTTATAGCCTCTGGAAAGGCGGAGCTTCCAAGAAATGACGTCAGCCTCGTCAGCCAATCCAGTTCGCTTTAAATATCTCCAGAACATTCTAAAACTGTACGTGTAGAAAAGGCGGGAAAAAGAACTTGACTACGGGGCTGGTGATTTAATTCCACGTACTCATAAGAGAACATCGCCATTAAAAATGAAAAGAACATAGAATTGGAATTTTATGTGTATTTTTGATTATGGAATTTTATTATTACACACACACACATATATATATATATATACACAAGATAACCAATTGGTTGAGCTTGAAAAGAATTCCTAGTTAACGGTGAATAATTTTTATAATAATTTTGTCAGCTCAGTCATTCGTGGATCTTAAATATTGTTTACATTACGAGGTAAGAATTTTATCAGCATTTATAAACTCCTAAGAATCAATAAAAAGTTTTAAGTAATCAATGCTTTAAAGTCGAATTTCGCATTCTCGTCAAAACAATAAACGCAAATATATTCGTAATCACGATAGCCGAACATGGGCAATTCTTAATTATGAAACTTATTGGATGTAATAGAACTTTAGAAAGATGGAAGAAATAGTTTATATTCTATCCTTAGTTGTCCAAAAAGTTAACAAGAAGTCCCGTTACATATCATAAATTTACATCAACCTGTCACACGAGGCACAAGAGTGGATTTTAAAAACATGCCTCCTCTGAAAGTTTCCCCAAAGGCGAGAGGCCAGTGTAGGGACAGATGCACAATTCCCCCAAATGTAGTGGCGGAAATATACTGAATAGCGAAGGATGAAAAATGTACTATGTAAAAACGATTGCAGAACAGGATCCAAAGTACACTTACTTGTAACCTCTGCATCCAAGGAAGTCCGTTCCATAATGCGGAATATAAATCCCTGCTTAGTCTCTCCATGATTAGAAGGACAGTCGGACGTCTGTCGTGTTTGTAATCAATGACTGTTCCACATAACCTGACTATCCGGGGATGTTCAGGGGTATTTCTACAAGGAAAAAAATAACTGGTTGATTTCAAGTCGCTAAAAAATGAAGTTATGAAATGTTGCTGAAAATGACAATTACCAATCAATTAAAGGCATCAAGAGAAATAGCTGTAGTAAAATGTTTTTTATCTACAAAATTAAATAACTTTAAGTACGTTCATATTCTAATAAATAGCATTCTTTATTATTTATCAATATTGGTTAAAAAATTGTACGTTAATTTACAGAGAGTAAAAACCCCTATTAGTTTATAAATTTCAGGAATAATTTTACAGATGATGCATTTGTAATACTTCCTAATTACTAATAGTTTGAATATTATTTTATTATAGATTTACAGACATGCTTTAACCCAATATAAATAATACACTCTGATTATATACCTAATTTTGACTAAAAATATATATTTATAAAGGTTAATTAGGATGACACCACCGCGTAAAGCATTTTTTTAGACGTCACGTAACTCAATTTAAGCCTTTTTTAAAGCAGAAAATGAGTTAAAGCTGGCATATTTTTCCCTTTATAAAGTTATCTTTAACCTCAAAACGATATAATTAGGCTGTAAACAAAACTTCTTCCTACTTAATTAACTACTATGTGTACGTAATGTTTAAAAAATCTATTCGCAAAAACAGCTCATTATTTCGTTCATTGCTTATTATCACAGACTTCCAATTCCGAAGTTTCTCAACACAAAGAGGAGGATTAGAAAAAGCTGCTTCAACTTTGAGTTCTGTAAATACAAAGTTTCATTACCTACGGCCATCCTAGAGCAGAATTTTCCATTACCAAAATATTCATTATGGTTTGATAAGTTAAATTATATATGTTACGGTGAAACACCGAAATCTGGAGAATGTCGACTTTCACCGGTGAATGTCAACATTCACATAGTCGCTTGGTGTATGTCCGAAATATTTTCCAAATACTCTTATTTCTGACTTACACCGGTCAATGTTGACATTCACCATGTACTAATGGTGAATGTTGAACATATAAGAATATTATATTTCCTTCTCCGTAATTCAGTCGCGAAAAAACGCACTTGAGACTCAGAATAAGAACTTAAGAATATAAGAACTTAAAACACACAGTACATTCAAAATGAGAAGGGAAAATAATAGAAGTTAAAAACTTACTAAATTATGTGATTCAAATCTTATTCATTGCAACAACTTAAACTATTATGACACTTTGAATTGCACAAGAGGCCTTGCTTTCACAACTGCGTTTATTTGTGGAACACTTCCTTTTGCAATGGCAGCGTGTACATATGCTCTTTTCGACCTACACCAGAGCATATCTGTGATTGTCGACATATACCGGTGAAGGTCCGAATGTACAAGAATGTAATGCAATATTCGATCTTTCACCGACGTATTTGGTGAATGTTGACATTCTCCGGTGAAAGTCGACATTCTCCAATTTCGGTCTTTCACGGTAACATATACATTTTATGCTTTCCTGTGCAAAATTCTTAGACGTACGCACAGATTTCTCAGAGACGCACTCAAGTGAAGCAAAATTCTTAAATATTTCATAAGAGATTTTGCAAATCCAATAATAAGCGCTGTTTGATCCAATAAGAAATAGCTAAGCAGTTTTTGCTTTTCAACCGCGCCTTAAATTTTATCAAAAAGTTCTAAAACTTTTGACAGAAAACAGCGTTCAAAAATTACCGCAATAAATTTGTTCACTTAATTTCTAAAAATTCGGAAATGGTATGACATGAAAAAATACGGATTGAAAATTGTAATCTATACTTGGATTATTAAGAATGGCGAAATACTCTAAAACTATCCGTCTAGATCAATATCTCCGAGTAGAAATTTCCATCGAGAACCGACTTCATACAGAAAAACCCTCTTAAAATATAGGTAACGAAATAACTATCGCTTGGCGGTTTCAGTGAGTCAGTGGCATTAATGAATAAATTCTTTAAAGCTGGTTGATGTTACAATTAAATAATTATGGATATAGTAATTAGGATATTTATAAAAATTGTTAGAGTGTAATACATATTTTATATTTATCGAGTTATATAATCCTTTACGATAAATTCAGGACTAACTTCTTCAGAATGCTTCAATTTTGACAATCCTTAGTTTTAAGCAAATATGTACGACTATAGACATTCATTTAACTTGGCAATTTATAATGTTATCCGTTCAATACATGTTTGTACATGATGATTTAATATATCAATATTTAGCACTAATTAAAAAATAACTAAAGAGAAAAACAATAATTGCAGTTATTTGGAGTAGCGGTTCTCTGCCTGTTTCTCACCTCTTTCACCATTGTTGAAAGATCAATCATTCATTCCTTCCGTCTTTTAACAAATATGAAAAATACATATACATTTACTTATATAATAATATATAAAATACATATACATGTTACCGTGAAAGACCGAAATTGGAGAATGTCGACTTTCTCCGGAGAATGTCAACATTCACCAAATACGTCGGTGAAAGATCGAATATTGCACTACATTCTTGTATATTCGGACCCTCACCGGTGTATGTCGACAATCACAGATATGTTCTGGTGAAGGTCGAAAAGAGAGGTCATAAAGTGCCATAATAGTTTAAGTTGTTGCAATAAATAAGATTTGAATCACATAATTTAGTAAGTTTTTTATGACTTATTTTATTTTCTCATTTAGAACGTACTGTATAATTAAAGTTTATAACTTCTATTATTTTCCTTTCTCATCTTGAATGTATTGTGTGTTTTAGGTTCTCATGTTCTTAAGTTCTTATTTCAAGTCTCAAGTGTGTTTATTCGCGACTGAATTACGGAGAAGAAAATATAATATTGTTATATGTTTAACATTCACCATTAGTACATGGTGAATGTCTACATTGACCGGTGTAAGTCAGAAATAAGAGTATTTGGAAAATATTTCGGACATACACCAAGACACTGTGTGAATGTTGACATTCACCGGTGAAAGTCGACATTCTCCAGATTTCGGTGTTTCACCGTAACATACATTTTATAATATATAAAATACATATACATTTAAATTATTTTTAATTGCTCTAAAAATTAAACAAAAAGGTATAAAAATGTTCATAAACAAACAAAATTTAAATAAAAGCAATTTTGTTGTATTCATAAACAAAAGCTAAACACTTGACAGCTAAATTAAAGGTTGACTGTATTCGCCCCTTGAAAGTATGGCATTTCCCCTCCTCCTGATTGAGAACCCCTACTTTAGACTAAGGGTCCTTTTCAACGATTAACTAATTTTCGCAACTTTTTAATGCTATATTTATTAAAATCTTTGGCCTTCTTTTTATCAAAAATTCAATCATGAAAATGTGCTGCTTTTAGTTAGCTACAGTCGATAATTTTTTTTTTCCATCGAAATCGTATGTCACGAATTATTTCAGGCAGTTACTGTTAATATTCAAGTAATTGTCAGGAACTGTGTTTATTAAAGAAACTTACTTGTGGTAGAAAAATTCCATAGCTAAACTGTACCAGTGCTTATCGGTAGGCAAAGCTACACTTTTGACTGCTAGGCAACTTTGGCCTGCCCATGACTTGCATGAATAGACGATTCCAAAATGACCTCTTCCTAATTCTTGTCCAAGTGGCGGATTGCCTGAAAATATATGCAGTTTTAAATGTGGTAGCCCGTTTGTCTCCAAACTTAATAATAACGGCAGTTTTCCATATATGGTTATTTGAACTGTATATTAAATAGATATTTACCGTACTGAACCGCATCTTTGAATGAAGAACTTTCCAAAGAAAGTTTAGCAACTTGGGGAGCGTACAAACAACGGACCTGGAAAGAAATTAATATTTTTAATGAAATTTTATGTTATATTTTTACGGTAAAACTACAACAAGAAAATGCGAAGAGAAAAACATTTAAAATTTTATGCATTAACAAAAGCAACAGTTTAAAACCTTTGCCCGTTTTGATGCAAATTAATCCCAAGTTAATGTCGCACAACTACCAGAATTCCTACCTGTAATAAATATACGTCTGTTGTGATAGAATTATGTTTTAAGAAAAAAGATTTTTAAGACATTTTATCATTTAAAACAATGTATCTTCCAAGAATATTATCCCTCTACATAGAACTCATTTTTGCTTCTACTCATGAAGAGCGTTATTTAAACATATTTGTTAGCTACATTGGTATAACTGCTTATTTTACTCTTTGTTTTCATAACCTTTTAGTCATGAGGATGATAATAAGATAATTAAGTTAAAGATTTTTAATTATAAGGTAATACCCACTCAGCACGTCTGTGAAAATATATGTACATTGTTTTGGGTATTACGTGCTTTCCTCAATAATATACGTATATTCTCAGAGCCATGTTGAATGTGTGAGTGATATGGCAAAGCCTCGAGGGCTATCTGCCTAAGGGGAGGGATGCCTTCGTGGAGGCCTTGGCTCTATACACCTACCCAGGGCCAGCCCGTTGGATCTCGGACCGAACTACCAGTGTGGAGGCCGCCATGTTGGATGAGTATATGTTAAACTGTACTGACGTAGTCATGTCGTTCAGAGGTTTAACCTTCCAACGACAGCTTTCGCCACAAAACTTCATTTTTCAATACTGAACTGCAGGCTGATCGCTGCTGCTGTTGAAATTTATCCCAAATGGCAATGTAAATACGAACCAAACTAAAACGCGAGAAGAGCCAAAATACAACACGAATACGAGCCTTAAAATATCCTCCACGAAGGCTTCCTTTCCTATAGACAGATAACCCTAATCTGCTTTGAGTTAATCAGATAGCCCAATTCTGAACTGTTTGCGATGATAAAAAGTGAACTAAATAAGTACGAGTAAATTATGTTACACAGGTACAACATGCATTATGTTAAGAACTACTTTTATTGACACACACACGATTGGTAAAAACGTTAATAAATGTATATACAGTAAGACCCCGCTTAACGCTGTTTCGGTTTAGCGCTCTTTTATTTCAACCCGGGGATTCCACGAAATCGCTCGCAGCATACGGGGATTCCCCGAAATATTATGCAGCGATAGGTTTCAAATACATATCCGAAAGAGTGTACTTGTATTTCTTGTTTGGTGCGGTATTGTACAGACATATTTTGAAGGGATAAATGTGGAAGATGTCGAAGAAATAATTCAAGAAGCAGCGGCTAGTCTTTCTAATGATGAGCTCAAGGAATTACTGAACAAGAAGAAAACAAAAATGTTGACAGCAGTGATTCAGAAGAAGAGCAAAAAGAACTTTCGATGGCGTTTGTAAAAGGAGTTTGTCTACCATAACTGAAATAATGGATCAATTCATTGAAAATATCCGAATTTTGACAGGAGCTCAAAGTAAGGCGGTGTTAGAGATGCTCTATCCGTTTATGAAGAACTTTTAAGAGAACACGCAAAAGAAAAGGCAACAACATTAGATGCTTTTGTCACAAAAAGGCGAACACTGAAAACGCGGAAGGCTAACTAATATGACTGACTTAGAATTTTATTTGTTTTTTTTTTTTTTTTTAAGAATATTCGTTTGTTATTTTATTTTGTTTTATTTTTGCAAGAAATATATGTGGTATTAATTGGGCTTTAAGAAATAAATGTTTGGTTTTACTTTTATTAAAAAAACATACTTTTTAAATTTAAACCGAACCATTCCTAGCCATCTCCCCTAACCCAATATTTACATTAAAGATAGGTTAGCGCTGTTTCGCATTACGCTCTACTGATGGAAGTATCCCCCGCGTTGGCTCTTACATGCTTGTAATCGAAGGTGGCAATAAATGATCAGAATGCCATCACGTGAAAAGATAAAATCCAGAAAAAGTGAAATTTTCAGGAGCGGGGAATGATGAGTAAGCGTAACAAAAAAAAAAAAAAAAAAAAAAAAAAAAAAAGAAAAAAAAAAAAAAAAAAAAAAAAAAAAAAAAAAAACCCACAATAGAAGGGGACAAAAAAACTCAAAATGGTAGGGCAAAAACAAAAAAAAAAAAAAAAAAAAAAAAATTAAACATAAAAAAAGAAAAAACAAAACAAAAAAGTAAAAAACAAAAAAAAAAAAAAAAAAAAAAAAAAAAAAAAAAAAAAAAAAAAAAAAATTGTTCACAAAAAAAAAAAAAAAAAAAAAAACAAAAAAAAAACACAAAAAAAAAAAAAAAAAAAAAAAAAAAAAAAAAAAAAAAAAAAAAAAAAAAAAAAAAAAAAAACAAAAAAAAAAAAAAAAAAGAAAAAGTAAACCAAAAAAAAATCAAAAAAAAAAAAAAAAAAAAAAAAAAAAAAAAAAAAAAAAAAAAAAAAAGAAAAAAAAAAAAAAAAAAACAAATAAAAAATCCAAAAAAAAAAAAAAAACAAAAAAAAAAAAAAAAAAAAAAAAAAAAAAAAAAAAAACTTTTTAAATCATAAATTTGACGCAAAGAATAATATATCCGAAAAATTTTAATGCAAATAAAACGAACTTTAATTTTTAAGAGTGGAACAGAAAAAAAAAATAACAATAGATGTAGCCTTATGTCGGAACATTAAAAAAAGATTTTTAAATTTAATGGGAAATCCACAAATACAGTTCTTTTCCATACAGTAGATATAGGTAAAGTGCAGACCTACAGATAAGAAGATGCTTAAAATTTCTAAGGAAGAACTGGTAGACAAGGCCACATTTAAGGTATAAGCCAATGGTAATGAATGGGCTGGTAAACTAGATTTTAGGATTTTTAAAAGAAAATTACATTTTTCCTTTCATTCTCCCTTTGCTCGAGCCTGTCGAGGTGGCGTTCTTCTAGCTGTGTTAATGATGCAACAAAGCGTTCGTGAGAGGATCGGACTTTCTGCTGGAGTTGATGACATATCGAACGTGCCAAATGAGATTCGTTAAGGCTGGTCAGCATTCTAAGTGCTACATCTTTTTTCCACTGAGAATCGATAGCAACCGGTAATTTCCAAGGAAGCACTTCTGCGAGCTAGAAATATAAAATCAATTTGAGTTATTGAAATCAGCAATTTATTTACTTGGAAGATAAACTAAAATATTGATAATTATAAATGTAAATTTAAATCACTCACAAAAACTATTCGTATATAAAACTTTCAAAACGGAAATCTAGCTCAGTTGCTGCTTAGATTGGTATACAATAACTAAATTAATTATTACCAATTACAATTTACTTATATAATATATAACAGATTTCCTAGGAATACATATAACAGACAATTTCCTAGGAATAAATTACTGTTGGCGATCAACGATTTAAATTAATGATCATAAGCCTAGCAGCATTATACTCCACCAAAATACGTAGAAAGTTGTAACTACATAAAGAAAGTAAAGCTGCATATTTTTGATATCATTTAATTAAGGAACTTCACCTATTTTCTACGACTTTCTTAACCGTTTCGTGAGAATATGGTTATTACTAACGATGCATTAAAATCATCTCTCATCAGAAACCCCCACTCCCTAAAATCGCGGAACTGTGAGGGCAAATTATTTTGCTAAAAAAATTAAATCTATATTATTTTGCAAAAAAATTAAACGCAAATTAAATTATTTTGCAACAAGAGAGAAATCCATACATTTTCTTCTAGCTATATCGGGAATAATCTCTTAAGATTAAATGTTAGCCATAGAAAAGAGGTCAACTGCGAAGAGGGAGATAAACAATGTTAAGAGCGGAAGAAACGACAAAATTGGCAGGTCTATTTATATGAGAACTGGCGCATTTTTTGCTTTGTTACAACAAGTTTTACGTGTAGCATCAAACGGAAATGCATATTGTCTAGTTTTTTTCTTTAAGATCTAGTTTTAACCGACTTGAGTAACGTAGACACGCATAAACTGTTTATTTACCATTGTTCACATTTTCCTTAGCATCCTAGTACAGGCGTACTGGATTAGCGATAGAAAAAGTTAAGGTTTTAGGAAACGTATATATTACATTTCTAAAAGATTTAACTTTGTTAATTTTTAGATTTACAAGTTACACGCACGTCAGTTCATTAAATTGCAGCTTATTATTCACATTTATTTTGTAATGCAAATATTTAATTTAAAATATTTAACTGAGAAAAAAGAAAATACTCCGCATTAAATCAATCACTTAAAGTACATAAGAAAAAAAAAAAAAAAAAAAACTTAGAGACACTATTTTAAATTAACTAATATTTTTTTAACCTTTTTTTTATATTTCCTAAACATACTTTGTTTGAAATAAAAAGTATCTAAACGGTTCTGTATGTAAATAAAAAATTAAATATTGCATTACAACAGGAAACATAAAAATAAGTTAAATTTTACGGGGATCGATGGCGCAAGTGAGGTAAGTTGAATTTAAATATGATTATAACGTTGCTTACGTCAGGTATATAATACTGGCTGGTAAATAATATAACATGATTTGTAAATCATGTTATATTATTTAATATAAATATTTTAATATTATTGGTAAATAATATAACATGATTTGTAAATCATGTTATATTATTTACCATTATATAGAATTACATAGATGTATTATATAGAATACATCTATGTAATTCTATATACAATATATAGAATTCTATATACATATACATTCTATGTAATTCTATATAATACATATATGTATTATATAGAATTACACAGAAGTTTTGAATATCAACCAAGGTTAAAAAATGGCATTATCTTCAATAACGGAAAAATTGGTACTTTTCCGTTTTGCCGGCGCAGGCGATAAAGTCGCCAGTAATGGTACAACTGATGCCAAACAGAATACCTCGCTGGTAACCTTACACCTCATTTTAAAACAAGTCGCAGCCATTTCTTTCAATTGATTTTCTTTCAATACTGCATATAATTACATAGAATTTTTACCAGATATGTAAATTTATTCCCTAAGGCACTCGCGGTAAGTCAATTAGATGTCATCACACCGCTCACCAAAGACAAAATATAGAAAAGGCAAAGTCAAGGGTTAATTCATCAATTCTAATGAAAATGCACTAGCGAATAAAGCACTGCGGTTTTACATAAGTTATTCGTACGAATTGAAGTATTCTGAATTTAAATTTGTATTCTAAATAGATTTAACTAAATTAATGTAGATAATTACTGAGAGAATATATTTTTGTAGCGTAGTTAACGTTAGATGAGATCACATGGGGTACGTGATACGAACCGGCGGATCGATAAAGCAAAGTAAATTCTTAATAATGTTATTTTACAAATTTAGTGTCTTTATTTATTGGCTTTTTACAAAATTTTAAACGATATTAAAATGTTTATGCCTTCAAAATTAAAAGTTCTTAGAACTAACACTTTTTAACATTTTTTATGTGTATACTGTATTGTTGTCGCCAATAAAGTCTGCTTGGCGAGATTTGCGCCTGCGAAACGGAAAAGTACCGAAAAATTAAAAGCTTAAACTGTTTGGCTTTCAGTTTTAATTACTTTTGCAGCAACCGTATTTTCAAAAACTGAGCATAACTTAAAGAAAGTTTGCAATAGACTATTTAGATAACATATGGAAGTTTTAATATTTAAGAAAATATTGAAAGTTTTCATATTATAAAAGTTTTCCTTTGCACAGAACAAAATTCTCAAAACTCAACGAACTTCCATCGTCAGAACGTAAAAGTCAAAATGAACTTTTAAACGTCTTTTATGAAGTATTTTAACAACTTTCGACTGACAGTCTGACTACCACTAATAACAACAGCTACAAGATTGTCTATGAAAAATAAACTTGCAACCTGAAAAATTTTAGATTGCACTCCAGTTCCTTGAAGATTTTACCAATAAAGTTAAAAACTCATTAAACTTAAATTCAGAAATATAAATGCGGGATTGAAAAGAAGTTGCAATATTACCTTAGTAGGCAATCAGTGTTTAAAATAAGCAGTTAAGGTTAGTTTAGCAGTTTAAAGAATTCGCACTAAAAAAAAAAAAAAAAAAAGATACAATAAAAAATCTTAAATTTAAAATGACAATACAAAACGATGCGGGAAAAACTGCCATGGTATTATTTCATTTTAATTAACCGCCCCAGAGTGACGTACACGCTGATTTAATAAAAAAGACTTAAAAACGTAGGTATGCATTAAATTAGCATATCAGAACACAGTTGTGCATTTATTTCAATGTAACGCCCGTGCACGAAACTTGCAACTAAAATTTAAAAAAAAATAAGATAAAAAAATTAAGTGTTGTCTCAAGTGAGCAAGCACCTAAATAAAAATATATAATAAATATATACTTTTTCTTACCTGTTGCATTTTTTGCATGAAGAACCAGAATATAGATGCACTGTTGCGGAAGGACACTTCAACCTGAAAAACCAATTCATACTCATTTAATGCATCATAACCGAAATACCGAAGGCATCAATAATTGATTATAAATAAAAAAGCCGCACAATTATTTTACAGTATGTTCAGAACTGACAGCTACAAGCTCAGTTTTCTTTAATATTAATGTTAAACATATACTTTCTGAAACAGCGTTTCTAAAATATGTGTGTAAAATTTTACAACGGCAAGCTTCAGTTCCGAGATTTAATAGGTTCAGTAATTATAAAATTTAACCTTTTATGTATGTTTGATTACGGTAAAAAGGTTATTTGCGAAGGATGATCCACGAAGCCTTCGTGGACGATGTTTTAAGGAAAATTTGCTCGCATCCACACGTTACGTTCGTTCGCTCGGAATCGAACCCAGGTCATCTACAACTTTTTTTCTCTACACCTTTTACAGGTCATTTACAACTTTTACAGCCCTTAAATATTTTATATGTATATGGTTTATTAAAAGCAAAAGATATAGTTAAAAAGTTTTACCATTTTAATAATTTAATGCAAAAAGAAATGCATAATTTCAAATACAAAATTCGCGAATATATTAGTGTTTAATGCAACCAACTGCAAAGTTATTAAGAAGCACTTTTTTTACACAGTACGGAGTTGATCTCCGAACACAGCAACTTTTAGTGGTACTGTTCGGTTTCGAGGGCCGTAAAAAATCGCCAAATTGTGATGCCAATGCTGCCAAAACGAATTACGGCAACCCTAATAATTGCGGCAAGAAAGGAAGTATAGTAAATAACTACCTAAGATTGATGTTTTAATTTAGATGAAAGGTTAATTTCACATAATACTTTATTATTAAATTTATATGAAAAAGGCTAAACAACGAATAAGCATAAAGTCAATAACTATTTCAGATCATTGTTATAATTTTATAAAATTGCTAACATAACTGATAGCCTGCATTCTATTTCGCTACCGACTTATCTAAAGCATAACGTCATCTCGTTGGTTGTTCAACATAATTTTTATAATAATGATGCCTTTTCTTTGAATATTCTGTAAAGTGCCGAATCGCTCAGTATTTGTTTGCCGTTTTTTTACAACGGTAAAACAATTGGATTTAGTCAATTCTTTACTTTTTAAGTGAAATAGGTCGATGTGTACCTAGGTAAGTCAGGGTGTGCGCAGTGCCATTTTTGTGCAATTCTAGGATTTTTTAAGTGAAAATAGGTCTATGTGACATGATACCGATAGGGCTTTCTTAACGCGTCAAGCGGGTATTCCTGCACTTGCCCCTTTTCCGTTTTGATTTTTTTGGTCATGGTAATTCCCAATTGTTAAATCATAGAGATCAAAAAGATTTAAAATCAAAAAAGGATTTAAAATTAACAGTTTCAATGGCGTTTTTTAAAATGTAGAACTAATTACTTTCATCTGAAATCAATGCACGCTAATCTCTGCGCTTTAATTGGCGTGTTTCTAATTTGGCGCTTTTGCGCATACATTTTCGCTGCAATTTTCTTACGGCCCTCAAAACAGAATAGTACCCTTTTAGTTCATAATTTGTTGCTAAATTCTGGCACATTTCTGGGTGAAATTACATCGAAAAGCTGTCTATATTAGTAAATTTCTTATCTCATACCTCTTTCAGCTTTACAGCACATTTTGAATTTAATTTATTACGGTATTAACAAACAGAAAAATATATATTTACAGTAACTTCCCGCTCAGAGTATCAAAACTGCCATCATAAACCTCTCCACTTTGCAATGAAACTGCTATTCGAAGTTCGCATCTCGAATTAATATTTATATAATAAAACTCGAAGCTACATTCTTCGAACATACTGTATATCACTAGTGGAAATTAAGGAAGCTATGTACCTGATAAGCAGCCGTTAATATATGCCTTAATGCTGCACTCGCTTGCTTATTGTTCTCATCTCCCTCTGAGCACATCTGTTCCAAACTAAGTAGACAACGTTCTAAAGTTCCTGTAGAGAGGAAAAAACTATAATTAATAATGAAAATTTACGTTATGTGAAATTAGTTTACATAAATCAAGCTTAATTTGCTTGGGAAATTTATATAAAATATTAACGCGTGAGAGTTTGAAAACACTTTCCAGACTCTAGCTTTGAACATAAAAGCTGTCAAAGGTTTCCTTTTTTAATAAGGGGACTCGTACACCTTAAAATCCATAAGATCTTCAAATATGTGACTGTTGCAAGAATTAAGATAACTTATTTATTTTACAACATTACTCCACTTTTTTATACTGACTACATATATAGCTCTTTTTAATGTAATTAGAAAGTTTTATGCCGCAAATTTTTACATTTAATCTTGTGCAAATTTTGTCATGTTTCCACCTTGCGCGCACAGTTTAAAACTTTCGTTGATATTTAATTCCTATTTATATAAGAGCATTATAATATTTGGAACTACTGTTCCACAATTCTCAAGAATTTATCTAAGTTTTATTTTATTTGGTGGAGTTTATAAATGCTTTATTAAAAACAATCACAAAGGTTTTCGGCAAAATGTTTGTATTAAAATATCGTCCATTTTTGTTCATTTAGAAAGTAATCCCATTGAAGAATTCCATCATTTCATTTATGTACCAGTAGCCATTTTTAAAAGAGCTGCCCAAGTGGACAGACGAAACTTTTGTCAAAACGTTAAATTACAAAATATTTGTAGCAACCAACTGGATTTATTTTTTTGTTATTAGCCCAAAGCGCTCTTATGTGTCATCTGTAAAAGTTGGATAATTGCTTTTAAAATAAATAAAATATCCCAATTCTTGCAACAGTCACATATTCGAAGATCATAAGGGGTTTAAGGTGCATGAGCCCCCTTAACAGTGAGAAATATTGACTCGTAAGTACATACTTGAGTTAAAATAATTTAAATCAAATATTATTATGGTTTGCGAGTTGTAATATTTTCTATTTCGACACGATACGATTCCTTTTTACATATTAGAAATGATAACACGTACTCTTAAGTGTAAAATTTATGAACAGAATTTTTTTCAGTATTTTGTTAAACCTGTTCAGGATTTAGAAAATGGTCAGTAGGTTCTTGCTGAAATCAATTTTTCACTTTTGTCTGGGAAATTATGTTTGCAGACATTTTTGCATAATTTTTGCTGTGAGCCTAGTTCCTGACAAAACCTAGTGTGATTTAACCTAGTTCCTGATAAGAGTTACGCTAATATATTTTCACAAAGCAATGATAAAACTGACTAAAGAAATGACCTATTCTGGAGAACTTATTACAAGCACAATCAGTCATTACCCACGAATGACACAGAGAAAACACTCAAACAGCTACCAAACATCTGCCAAATAAAATAGTACCCGGAACAAAATATGCATTATAATTATAACACTTTCTATGGCTTCAGAAGCAATGTTAACCAGCTTCAGTACGCAAACACTCAGTAATGCTGGCAAACTTCAGTGAGCTAATGATGATTATAACAGTTGATAAATTTAGAAACTTCAGTCAATGCTTCCGTTACAAAACATATGATTGATCCTACAATATTCTATGTAATTCAGCAAAACATTTGAACATCGTTTTACGAATTATTACATACAAATTATTGTTACAAAAAACTAATTAAACTAAATATAATTACGCCACAACACTCGAAGACTATCTGCTTAAAGGAAGAGATGCTTAATGAAGAACGCTTTTTAACTGAACCCGACTCATTCACGTAACACATGGGGAAACTGCAAATCTATCTGTGCAACTAGTCGGAATATGAATTTGCGTCGAATTACTAGCGATTAGCTGTCTATCAGCCACTGCTTGGGAGGAGTTTAAGGGGGCTCATACACCTTAAACCCCTTATGATCTTCGATATGTCTCTGTTGCAAGAACTGGGCTATTTTATTTATTTTAAGCAATATTCCAACCTTTTACACTGACTACATAATAAGGCTGATTTGGAACTCGTAAACAAACGTTTGTTCCAACAAATATTTGTTGGATTAATCTGCTTTTGACAAAAGTTTTCGCATGTTTCCACCTTGTGCGCTGTATTAAAAAAATCTCTATGGTACAACTTGCATTTGATTGAATCTTTGTAGGGATAATTTTCTAACGACCAAAGCGGATGTTATTTTAATAGAACGTTTATGCCGAAACATACAGATTTTTAATAAAATAATTTTTTTAACTCACCCAATAAAATAAAAATTTAACTAATTCGTAAATTTTTGTTCATAGATTTTCAAATATTATAAAGCTATAAATGTGGAATTAATTATGCAACAGATGTTTAAAATGGCGCGCAAGTGAACATACGAACATTTTGTCACAAGCGGATTAAATTATAAAAATATTTGTGGCAACGCAAACTTCGATTACTATTTCAGAAGGCAGCTATATTATTTTTATTTAGTCAGCTGTAAAAAGTTGGAAGTAGTTGCTTTTAAACTAAATAAGTTATCCCAATTCTTACAACAGTACTGCATATAATACTGGTAACCAGAAACTCATTTAAAATATATATTTTTTAATTTATATTTACGCATAAAATGAGATTTTGATTCACTATCGAATGAAAGGAGGTCATCTTGGTAATTCAGAGCTTTATATATTTTATGCTTATTGCAATTAAAATGTTCGATTCATTCGAGAGATTCTGATTTATGCATCGTCAGAATCAGAAGTATTCATGTACCTCTCCGTGAAAGGAATAAATCTTCAAAGTTGATGTTATCGATAACGAAACATTTTCATCTATTCGCAATATTAAGATCTCAACAATATGCAATTTTAGATAAGCTAACTAGAACGTTTATGTGAAAAAGGAAGCGTGTAAGTAACAGCAAATAGCTCAGCCTGTTATCTTAATTTAAATCGCTGCTGTTCACTTGCTTCTGGAGATGCACACCGCAAATGAAGCATGACTAAGGTAAATTTAAGGAACAACCAAGCAGGCGACAAAAATTAAATATATGCCCTACTCTACATGCTTAAGTTTTATTCTGACATAAGATAGTTTATGATGGAAAATTAAATGAAAACTCAGAGCTTTCAGAAGAATTATTTTCTACTCCATAACTGCGATAAGCGTTAGAGTACACAAGACGTATGCCAGGGGCAGCCAATTTCTATCCCCACGAGAGCCAATTGGTATTTCGGGCAGTACAAAACGTCGTAATATTTAAAGGTACTCTTCTGTTATCGGGACCGGATTCAGAAATGCATGTATTGTTGCGTTTTTCTTTTCTGACATCAGTTGTTACGTTATTTTCTTTCTCCCGTCGACGGGTTCGTGTGATTTGATGAATAACGACGACACTACTTGATGATGGTACCGAACACACTTTATGGCCGATATTAATCAGGACAGCTCCAAAACACTTTTTTAACATCGTCGACTGTTTAAACAGCTGACGCTACAGCCGCACGCTTTAGTTATCACTATCACGTGGAGACGCTTTCAAATCACCAGATACAGCTCCACTCGGCTTGGGGTCGTCTCACTCTACTCCACTACCTCGAGCTCTCCACCTACAACTCGCTATGCCTCGACGATCACAGTATAGCTTCGACTCAGCCAGTCTAAGACAAAACTCACAATCACTAATTTCGACACTAAGCTCTCTCGTACACTCGACAACCAACTCGGCTCTATCTCGAGATACTCGCTCATGACTGACTACACTCGCTATACGGCACCCAACCGCGATACAAATACTCGCACCCAATAGGCACACTCACTCGTCACATCGACGGCCTCTGCGCGGACCAGCAGTTGTATAGCATTCGGCTCGTGTTCGAAAACATTCTGGGCTGGCAAACCGTAGAATCTTCCAGAAGTTCTCTATTCGTCCATAACATGTAGCCAATTTGTCGCCAAATGTGGCAACCCCGCCTTCCCTTGCCATTTATGGCAACCCTAAAACTGCTTTGCGGGAAAGCTATCTCACCGCGCCTGTACATTGCGTAACAGTATGAATACATGCATGCATGCATGTATATATGCACGCATGCATGTGTATATACAGATACATACACATGTGCATACACGTACACTTCTGAATCCAGCCCGATAACAGAAAAGTACTTTTTTAAATATATATAGTGGAATAATAAATACTAGTTACTTCAAGGTTCTTGTGGTATTAATTTAAAAAAAAAAAATTACGCCACAAATGTAGGCGAAAAGTTGGAAATTCGATTCTTAACAAAATTTGGTTCTCTAGTTGAGCCCAGAGTTCTCTAGCTGCCCATTGCTGATCTATATGATCATCATTTCTCTTGCATCTAAGCAGGTTTTATTTCTTATATTGGTAATAAACCATCACAAAGAAAACCACATTTTAAATTTAAGTCAAGCTTGGTGCTCATTGAATTGATGCCAGAATACTAACTACTAAAGAGCTGAAGAGAATACTAAAGAGCTGGTGAGAAACGTTTGACATATCTATTACGATTAGGACTAGTAGTATGATGTTAAAAATGTATAATCAATATACATTCACTTAACGCAAAAGAAAAATACTTTCATAATGTTTTCCCCATCAGCAGAAAGCTTCAGTCTTATAATTTTCTTTTGTTAGAAGTTGCACAATTAACTTCAATCAGAAGTTTTTAAATACATGTCGACAAGCCTCAGAAGCGGTAAGCTACAAACAAGATTTACCAACAAAGATTTGCCAGATAAAAAATAATTTTAGTAATGTAGATTACAGTAAAATATACTGTAAGAGCTTTATTAATTTATTAAAAGTGTAACTCCAACTTTCCACAAACGATCGCGTTAACTTCAAGCAACTTAAGCTTTTCGGCAAATAGTCCTTTTCCGAAAAATTAATTGCTGAAATAAAATGTCAAGGACACGAGAGCTCAACAAAAATCGAAAATGTGTAAATACCTGTAAATTTTTCTTGTAACCATTCTATAGAAGACGCCAATTTCGACGAAACTGCTTTATTAACATGTTCCACGACCATGTCTCTTATTTCAGAAGTACAAATATGGACGGCACGAGCTGTGAGGGATTCTTGAATGTATTCGTCTATAACAGCACCTGAAATTGTGACAAAGTTTCATTAAATACATAAATGTTGGTGATGCATTTTTTTTAAAATAAAAAATGCTACGTAATAAGATAATGAATAGGATTTTCTTTTTTTTTTTTTTTTTTCAAAACACTGTTTTTTAGAATTTTCAAGCAGGATAGATTGAATGATTTTAATTGTTAATCTTAACAAATATTTAACTGTACCGCGTTTTGCGAAATGAGAGAAACACTACGCTATGATGAAAGACGAAACTCGTAAACACTCCACATGAACAACAAAAGAGTAATATGTGATCAATATCAGAAAAACTAATTGATTACTTTATATGGATTATGGTAAAGCACGCAAGAGCTATCTTGCCTAAGGAAAGGAAGCCCTCGTGCAAGACATAACGGCAATTATGGCAAAGCACACGACGGCTATCTGCCTAAGAGGAGGGATGACTTCGTAGAGGACTTTCTAAGGGAAAGTGGCTCGTATTCAAGTTACACATGGAGAATAGTATAAAAGCCAACCATGCAGTCAGCCCATTCGTTCTAGGCTCAAAAGTGGAACGAAATAACAGCATTCAGCAGTCTTAAACCTCCTGACTACTGGTGGGACTCGCCAGAGAATTCAGATCAAACTACCAGTGTTCAGCGATCTTACAGCTCGGCAGTTAGTGGAGGGTAAAAACAATTAACATTCTATTTACTTACGCTTATTTCCAGAAAGAAATCTCAAATATATCGATAAAAATTAAAAGAAATGAAAAATTAAGATAAATCTCTAAAGATTACATATTTTGCATCAAATGTTTGATAATGTTTGACAAAATACGATAGTACAAATACGCAACAGAAAATTTTGTGTCCTTATTGGAAACGTTTATATAGAAGTAATTACATACGTCGACGGTTAAAAAAACTTATGCTAAAATATATGAAATCAATTCATTTGTAAACATCTCACTTAAGGGGACTCGTACACCTTAAAACCCATAAGATCTTCGAATATGTTACTGTTGCAAAAATGGATACTTATTATTTTAAGGCATTTCCTTCCACTTTCACAGCTGACTCGAATATGCTGTTTTCTGAATATTAATCAAAGTTGTGTTCCAAAAATATTTTTAATTTTAATCTCGCTTAATACAAAACTTTTCGGTGTTTTCCACCTTGCCGCACAGTTAAAACTTCGTTTGCATAATTTAATTCCCTATTAATATATAGCTTTATAACTTTGTAGCTTGTGACCTAAATCCTAAGATTTCACGTTAATTTTTATTTTATTTGGAGTTGTGCTTTTAAAATGTACTTTATTAAAACAATCTGTAATGTTTTCGTGCATAATTTTTAGTTTAAATATTCATCAAATTTTTGTTCAGTAAAAAATAGTGCCCATATAAGAATTCCATAATTTTCAAGTGCGATCATTAGCCATTTTAAAATATCTGCGCGCAATTCCGAAACTGACGAAAATTTGACACAAGCGGATTAGTCAAAAATTTTGGTGGCAACCACAAACTTTCTGGTTACTAGTTCCCGAAGCAGCTATATTATGTAGTCAGCTGTAAAAAGTTGTAAGTAATTTCTTTTAAAATAAATAAAATATCTCAATTCTTGCAAGTCACATATTCGAAGATCATAAGAGTTTTTAAGGTGTATGAGCCCCCTTAACTGAACTGGATGCATTTCATGGCGGAAATTAAATTTATAGGTCTTTGTGTCGTTTAACCAAAAATATTCCTAATGGAATTGATAACGTAAGTAACTAAGGTTGACATAATTTCTGAATTATTTTCATCTACCTTGGAACCTGAAGTTTGCTGCCTTTTGTAGAACTTCGTCTTTTATCTCGAATATGGTACCAACTATCATATTCTTGATCTCATCTTGTTTGTTGTGAGACAAATCGAGCAAGGATTTATATAAAGCTTCCTCTCTTAACCTCGCGTATTGAATTCTTTTAGGAGTGATCATCAGATCTCTGGAGAGGTCGAAAGCTGCCATGATGAAATTTTGAAGACTTCGCGCATGTGTATCCTGTAGAAGAGTTGCGGCCAGTAGCAGTTTAGACTGAAGGACATGGCAAACGAACAGAAGAATACTGAAAAGAAAAACAAAATCTTAAGTTACAACGCAATGCATCACGTACTGCATTATAATATGTAATTACTTGTTAGTTCGCCATTTGATCCAGTTCCCAAAACATAGCAATTTCAATGAGCCTTGTGGTCATTTACATTGAAGCTGGCTGAAACTAACCTAATAATGAAAGTCTAAATTTTACAGTCTAAATTCTAAATTTAAATTATTTTATTTTAAAAAGTGAATTTATTTTTCTTCTGAATATTCTATAATTACATGTTAGGCTCTACATTACTTCTTAGATATTATTAACAAACCGAAAAGAAGGAAATTCATAAATAATTTATAGAAGCAGAAATAATTCAACATTCTTATTAATTTTTAATCCAGCTGTGAAAACAGACAAGGTGACCTTGCACATGAACATCCTCTAATCAAGCACTACAGATTTTGTGGGAATTCAAGAACTTTTAATTGATTTCCCTCTTTCTTCAGACTCGAAATTAACTCATGGTTTTCCATATTAATGCCAAGGCTAACACCTCAATGATTAACTTTCGTATTTCACCCTTTTTATACAACTAAGTTTGAGTAGTATACAACAACTTTACAACTTTTTATACAACTAAGTTCGACGTAGATGAATCGAACAGTTTAAAACCTTAGTATAACTTCTTTTACTCGTATTTTAACTCTTTGAAGACCATAACGCCCCAGACGACCTTTCATTCAAACGACCACAACCGCCCAAAACGGCCGAAATTCCGATGTTGTTTTCTTCCCTCCCCTAGGTTGCAGTATGTGCAGTTTCCCCAATGCATGTTCATTTTATTTCGACAGCTTGTCCTAAAAGGATTATTTATTTTTCTTATCTTATTGTTAGGAATAGACGGGGACATTTGAAATCTTCACTCTCTTCTTTGGCGTTAATTGAGGGAGGGTAGGAATTATTGCGACTCTCCGAAAACCTTTTCGGGCGGTTCGGTATTTTATGCGTACAGGTTAGCGAAAACTTCGGTTTTCAAAGAGTTAAATTATGAAACCATTGGATTTACAGATTTGCAGAAGCATCTTAAACGTGGCAATAAATAGTTGGAACCCTGAAGGGAAAGAATAGTTGAATTTGTGGATGTTAATCCTTTTCACTCTTGAGGCGAATCTCCAGTCACCTTCGGTGTACAAAGAATTAAACATATTTAAACATATGTTCAGAAAATAGAATACACAAACACATTATTACAAATACCTCTCAGCTTTTACAAATTATAAAAAATTCAACAATTAGCAATGCTGTTTGGCGACATGATATCAAGTAATTTATTTTTTACTAGCAGCAAATTATTTTACAGAATACCCATTGAAACGAAAAGATTTTTTTTTTTACTACGCGTAATTCTTTTAAAATTAAATACCAGATCAGAACTTTAAATTTTCTGCATTAAAATTTTTTGAGAAAAATATTCTCGTTTCATATTAACTACTTCTAATTGAAACATATTTTCGTAAATAATATGCCTAATTATGCTCTTTCTGGTTAATAGATTTCGATTCATACCTGGCGTTGTGTGAATTCAGATTCCCTCCTCAGACATACCTTTACGAAAAAAAAGATTTAATGGTTTTCGATATTGGGGAATGCGAATATCTCAGCTCAGTCTGAGGAAATTTTGGTGAATCTTCGGATTATGGTAACTTGGCGATTTTTTAGCGAAAATTTGGCGACCATTCCTGATACGCAACTGCTATTTTCTTTTTTTTCTTTTTTTTTTGGACGCCATTTGTTTTCACGATTAAGCATATAAATTTTTTAACTCAAATTTTTTTTAAACATCGCTAGCCGATTACGCTTGCGCTAAACTTTTATGACAAAATTCTAATCATGACGAAGATTATGTGCGAATTGACAAGTCATAATCGCTACTGCTTGCCGCGTTTTTACGATTGCACGTACACGTCATCCATTACACGCGACTATTTTCACTTAAAAAAAAATCTCGAATGCACAAAAATGCATTCGCACATCTCTTGACTTATCCTACACATCGACCTATTTCCTAAAAGTCAAAAAATTGACAAAAATCCATTCTTCTACTCTTGTAAAAATCCGCCAACAAAGGGGCGATTCTGCACTTTAGCACGAAATTGTTCCAGTGCTTATTATCTCCAATCAGCAGCGGTTTTCCGGAAATGCACATGACAGTCTCATGAGCTTCATTTCGCTGAGACAAATAATCTGTGATTCGAATGTCTTTCTCATGTTATTGCAAAGTCCTACTATAACCTTATCGCCTTACCAAAATGTCGCCAAACTACCTGTTACCATATTTCAAAGATTAGCCGAAATTTTTTGAATTATTTACTGGAAAAATGAAACCTTTGAAACTTTTCATCAAATGCTACAACGTATAACAAAAAGTAAAGATTTTTACCAAATTATATTACCTAGAAAAATTTGCGAAATCTTCGACAAGTTCACTGCCAACTTCCAGGGGTCCTTTGTACTCAGGTTTTGAACCTGGTGATGCGAGATAACCTAAGTCCGATAACTTCTGGTATACATCTGATACAGGAAATTGTTCTGCACAATGCACCTCGGTGCAGTTCCGCAAGAGAGCAAGATGTTCCAATGGATGGCGCGAGTATGTGAAGGGAAGATTGCGAGGGGGTGCTTTTGGAGACGTAGGTGATGGAGGACATGACTGTGGAGGCGTGGATGAAGTGGACGAAGTGGTGCAGGTAGATGTTCCAGCGTGCTGCCCGGATTCTGTTAGGTCTGACTGTGAGGGATGACGTACGCAGATGAAGAAAATGGGAAGCTTGTATGGGAGTTGATGAAGTTCTGTCAAGTCTGCAATGTCCTGAAAAATATTAATGTAAACTCTGAAATCGATTTTGTAATATTGGTAAATGATTGGTTGGTTGGTTTTTTTTTTTTTTTTAAATGGCACAAAACCTCAAATTGGTAGATGAAGAAACTTCAAAGAAAATGCAAAAACACATAAATAAAACGTTAATCTGAATTCTATTCATCTAAAGAATCAGAGTTATCTCTTTTAATAAAGGCGCTTTCTAAGGAGTAATTTAAATTTAATTCATCATGAGAACTTCAAGGAAACAAGAACATGCAATATGAATTCTCTTTCCAAACTTTTTTTTCAACTCATCAATCCTTGGGCTTTCATCAAGATTGTGTCGTTTTTTAATTATATTTATATATAAAATTTTAAAGCGATGTAGTTTAGGTGGTGTGGTGTATTTAATTATGGCAAAGCACACTAGGGCTATCTGCCTAATGGGAGGGATGCCTTCGTGGAGGCCTTTCTAAGGAAAACTGGCTCGTATACACGTTACACATGGGGAAAACCACGAAAACACCCATGCAGCCAGCCCGTTCGCGGGATTCGAACCTCGGACCGAACTACCAGTGTTCAGCGACTTTACCGCTCGGCCGCTGGTGGGCCCCCGTTTTAGTTTAAGATTTTAATTCAGTTTGTATATGCTACATAAAAAATGCACAAAGATGCTAAATCTTCATGATCAAAGTACATTTCACCACATAAATGATATAATCTTAAAATACTTCTTTACATTTTCAAATATTGAGATTTTATGTGCAGAAAAACAGTGAAAAGAAAGCTTGCAAATTAAAACACCTTAAACGATTATTACTCAAAGGCAATTAAAGAGCAACCCTTTCTAAGAAGAAATTAATTTTATTTTAAAATTTCAATCAGTGCAGTATAAAATCATATAGATATATCAACAAATGTTTAGTATAGAAAAAAATAAGGTAAAATATACCGAATATTGTTTTTCAAACTAATGCTTGCTCTTTGGCTTGGAATTTTACACACTGTATTCAAATACACAAATGGATTCTAATAACAGTTTGTACCAATAAAGTAACAAGAGTCAGAAACGAAATAGTAGGTAGCATATTTCACAAGTGCACATCTGTGTAGCCACCGAGGGAGTGGCTTCTAGGATGGACCAATGAGCATCCAGAAATATTTCTGTCATGTCACATGACTTTTCGCGTGCTTTAAGATTTAAGCAAGATGGTTAAATATTCTGCCACGCAATTTTCTGTACAAAATAATTAAAGCCTCGTCGGTGCTTCTGAAATTTTCATGCGAAGTTAGATCATATAGGCAATATGAGATTTCACTAACTGGTTGAAATAAATACAAACACTGTTATATACTTCGCAAAAATATCGATGTGTAATATTACTTAATAGTTTAAATAAGATGAGAAAAATACGTGATAAACATACAACCTAATGCAATCTTCACATAAAACTATGCGTATAAGAAAAATTTACACCAATTATATAAGTAAATGAAGTCAGCCCTTTTAATTGCGTCTATATGAAAAGATTTCTTAATGATAACCAATGCAGAATTTCATTCAAAGTGAACTTTACTATTTGCTTCGTATACATTTAGTGCGTTAAATTTCCCATTCTAACTGCTTACTCTTAAATGTACTGTCTACACAAGAAATACTCATCAAACAGAGGGAATTTCTTATTCACGACGAATAATTTACATATCATTTTTTTATAATTTTTAATGATAGCATGGATATAATCAGATCACTGCTTCTGCATCTTACGCTTAAAATCAAAGAATGCAAGGACTGAAATAAGAAAACACTATATTCATTGTAACCTTTCAGTCATCTCATCTCAATTAAAAAATATACTTGAATCTCTAATCCACATAATATGCCGTGAACATCAATATTAAGCGTGAAAAAATCGCGAATTGAAATGTCGAGATTATTAAACTCAGAAAACAAAGCACTACAAGATTTCTAGTTTCTTCATACATTTATAACTGGGAAAAATGCAAATTAAAAACGTAAACACATATGCTCACATGCACGGAGATTAGCGTCCAAGCGCATATAGCAGCTCATTGTCCATTTTCGAAACCCCTCCCTCATTGCTACGTTGAGGTGGCATTGTGAATATGCGTACGGGTACGCGTAATGGCAAACCGCATTGAGTTGATGAGTACGAATTTCGCTTACTGCGCATGCTCAATGGTGTACCGTTGTCGTGGGAGGAAATATTAGCGACTAAAGCAGAAGCAACCCTACACAAGCCTTTTAGTCATGTTGGTTTTACTGTTTACAATTGTAATATTACGGAAATTTGTGTGTGGTTATTGCACGTCTTTCTGTTTCATTTCGGTTTATTTTTTTCATAAACATTACATTTAATATCAGTTACTTGACTAATTCAGTAATTTAAACTGGATTTATTCCTTAATTTGTTAACGGATATACGAAGGGACGGATGGTAAATACTTAATTGCTTTTAATCCGAAGTATAATATACTCGTAAGTATTTCAGCTTCATCTTTAATGTGTTCCTGTTTTGTATCCTTCTTACACGAAAATTTGCCAGTTTACAATCGATATTTACATTCTAAGTAATGAAGCAATTTACAACCTAACATGTTTTAAAAACCCGAACTGTTTGCGCTCACATAACACAATATCAACCATATACCGCATTTGTCTTCTTTTAAAATTGCACCAAATTTTAACCTGGGCATGCGCAGTAAGCGAAATTCGTTTAACATTGATCATCTCAATGTGCAGTTTGCCATTACGCTACGGGTACAGCCTTGTCTGCTCTTGCTCTGTGGGGTCGCAACATGGTAGATTGCAAGTTCGGTGGGGGCGGCACATAATTCTGTTTGGCAACAGCCTCCGGTCGGAAGCTGCCCTATCCGCTAGCGTTGTATTTTCAAAAGAAACAATCAGCTTTTGAATAGCGTTCAAAAGTTGCGCAGAAGATGCATAAACGTAAGTTGTGCATCTTTGCTTTTCTTCAGGTGTTGATGACATCAACACTGAAGACGCTTGCGTCTTCAATGTTGATCTCAGCAATGCTTTACATTGCTCTAATCAACACTGAAGACGCTTGCGTCTTCAATGTTGATCTCAGCAATGCTTTACATTGCTCTAAAACTGAAATGAAAAACTGAGTGTTGTTAAAATAATGCTTTTTCAGGAACAGGACGGCCGTACCTGTTCTGAAAGATTGTTTCCGATGGCATATATGAGGACGGGTGTGATTCCATCGAGGCATTTCTTCAGCTCCTGGATGAAAGCGGTGCGGTTCCTTTCAGGAGCCATGATCACTTGAGCATTATCGTATAGCAGAGGGTGTGACAGGTTGATCTCTAGACCTCCACCAGTCAATGCTGGATCTTCAGATAATTCGAGACACGCGTTGGGCTGTAAGAAACAAAAATATTTCGGGATTAATTGTATAATAATGCATTATTATTTCGGTGGAACGAATTGGGAATGAATCATAAAAAATAGCCTTAAAAAACAGTAATAGCTTCGCACTTGCACATAATATCCGTAAAGTCTAGCATTACCCTAGCGTATTTTATTGTCAAAATATTTCCCCAACCCAGTTAATTTTAAACATATTCCACATAAAAATATGATTACAACCCGTCTCTAATATGTTTGCTACTAGCGAGCATGGAAAAGTAAAATCGTCTATAAAAATGGCATTAAGAAATGTCCCGAATAGCTTACAGATGCACTCGAAAGGTATGATTCATACTAAGAATTCTCTGCAGCATATTCTCCTTAACAGTTCAGATTGCTTCATTAATAACATTGCTTAAAGATGTGCCTAATGGGTAATTTCTGTACACATGACATCACATATTAACTATTATAAGTTTTTATTTTCTCATGTTGCAGAGACATTAGGTATTTTTTTAAAGATAGGAGAGATGAAAAACGAGCAATGCTCTCGGCGGGACTCCAACCACGGACATCTCGAATACGTGCCGAGTGTGCAGACCACTGCACCACGAAGGCATGCTAAGAAGGCCGGGGGGGAATATTTTATAATGTAAACACTTATTCGTTTCATAAAACTCAAGACAATTTGAAAAAATATTTCTATGTGAAATATGACAAAAAAGGAGTTTCTTTCAAGGGATCAAGTAAAACTCCCTGAGCAGTCGAACAAAAATTGAAGCAGACACCTACAATGTATGCTTGCAAGAAAGGTACTTTCTCTGCTCACTAACCATCCAACAGGGATTTAAAGTCACTATAAAGAATCTGATAGAGTATTAAACATCACTGCATGAATCCAACTACTCTAAATTTCCTACATATGAGAACCTCCATATAAGCAGTGTAAGAATACGAGCATAAATGAGAATGTGAGTAGCCATAATTCAATTATAACTACTCATTCTCGTACTCATACTTAATTTACCCATTCAAGATAAAATGAAGCATGTCAACGAGTTAGAAATTCTGCGTGCGTCACTGACGTTTGGATTGGATTGGATTATTTAATTATGACAAAGCACACGAGGGCTATCTGGCTAAAGGGAGGGATGCCTTCGTGGAGGACTTTCTAAGGAAAACTGGCTCGTATACACGTTACACATGGAGAAAACCACGAAAACCCCCATGCAGCCAGCCCGTTCGCGGGATTCGAACCTCGGCCCGAACTACCAGTGTTCAGCGTCTTTACCGCTCGGCCACTGGTGAGCCTGTCCCTGACGTTTGAAATTTAGGAATGTGCATAGGGTTTCTTTTAGTTGATTACGGCAAAGCACACAAGGCCTATCTGTCTTGGGGAAGAGATGCCTTCGTGGAGGACTTTCTAAGCAAAACTCGCTCGTATACACGTTGCACATGGGGAAAACCAAGAAAACGCCCATACAGAACCCGAACCGAACTACCAGTATTCAAAACCCGAACCGAACTACCAGTATTCAAGTAACACTGCCGCTCAATAGCTTGTGGGCGCAAGACCTTTCTTTTGCAAGAAGTTATTTTTAAAGCCTTATTCTATAACACATAAAAAAATCTCAAATTCTGAGGTCACATTAGAAAATACAGTAGATTGTTTTTAATTTTGCAAGTTAACAACAATTGATGAATCGTCTAAATATAAACTAATACCAGAGCACTTTATATTACCTTTACATTATTGTGTTTGTGTCAATACAGTTACTTGCTTTCTGAAAACTATTTACTCCGATATTTATAGATTAACGCTTTATATCTGTTCTATGAAAATACAACCAGTGACCTTAAAATGAATTATGACAAAAAGGTTTTTCTAGATGTAATTAACTAAATAAACTTCTTTTATGAATTGATAAGTTATGAGCAGTCTTTGTTGGGAAACATCCGTAATTAATCAAGTATGGATTATCATTGGCGGCAGCTTTATTACAGAAAGATCAAAAACAAAAAAAGTATTTACCTAACATTCTCATTTTCTTCCGAAGGAAAGTCACTTATCTGCCACAAGTTACCTTTAGTCTACTTGCAACCCGCTGTGCTTTCTTGCCACACGGGGTTTTCTAAAAGAGTTCAGGTACTGTGATCTGTGGATAAGATGTCAGATGTGCCAGGAAACATTATGAGTCATGACCTTTTGGGACGTGTGTGGAAATCTCTAAACCATCAAACGGCATCACTTGAAAGTGACGATAGACTTCATTTTTCACTTTGACACAGATTGTCATCTTTGCGGGCATTTAAGGGCGACATAAACAATGCTTACAGCAATGCTATGATACTTTTCAATACCAAACAACAAAGTTGATTTCCGTAAATTTTTAACATACATAGTTAACTGTTTCACGTCTTCTTTTATATCTGAATTTCTTTTACATACGTTTCTCTTCTTATTTGTGCATCAAACTATTATAATTTATAGTATTTGTATACGAAAAAATCTGATGTGTACACCACATCACTTCCTTGTACGGAATATTAAATTATACGCATTTTTTCTTGCATTTCATTTAAACTTATTAGAGTGAATTAAATCTACTTCGCCGACAGCGCATAAACCACAATAGAATAAATGCGTTCTTTAAAATTGACTTTGTTTACCATAGCGACACTCTGGCGCTAGGTTCAATTAACAGTATTATATTTCGTTCATATAACTCATAATGCACAAAATTGGTATCATTTAAAGAATAGAATTATCTAATCGTTGCCACATGTTCTATTCAAATACTATAATAAAGCTGGAATGATGTATAAAAGAAATTAAGCAAACAAAACAAAAAAGAAACAGTTTTTCACAGACGATTGAGTATTTTCTCATTCAATTAATTCAGTTCTCACTTCGCAGAAGCAACAAATACATAAAAACTCAAATATCTATATTAAAAATTACGAAGTAAATCTCAAACGCTTATTTTCTCGAAAAAATTCCAGAAAGAATTAAGCATGATTTAATTGGCAATAATAAATGAATGCGTTATCTTTGTTGTTGCGAAGGTAAGTTTCTCTAGATTGGCAACAAATCCACTAGTGTCTTGTTTCAAATGTAAACATCAATGGCCGCCATTAAAAACAGGCTTAGCGGCACTTAAACAACTGTAAAATTGTTGATAATTCTTAAAATATTGCACACAGATTTACTAAAAGCATAAAATCCTTAACCGGAAGATAAAAACAACATTATTCAATCATTTTTAACGCAAAAAATGTACAATTTACAAACATATAAGAGTAAAGAAACTGAGATCACTGAGCCGGGTAAACAGAGTGGATATATATATAAATATATTTATATATGTTTGGTGCGGCCGATTGCAACCAAAATACGAGGTGCACATCTACATGTTATAGCAGTCCTATATACAAAATTTCAACGTTCTGAGGCTACTCGTTTTTGAGTTATGCGAGATACGTACGTACATGCGTTCGTACAGACGCCACGAAAAATTCTCTTCAGAATTAATTTTAAAGCAGTTTTATAATTTTTTTGGAGGAAACGAGTCTTGTTCTGTCCTTACGTACAGATATCACGCAAAAACATCGTTAAATTGCATTCGATAGCGGTCAAAATGGATATTTTCGTTGAAATATGCTGCCTGAAACTTTTCTCGATTACAATACTTCCTTTTTACTTCGTACAAGGATATAAAAAGGAAGTCTGATATTATTAAACTAGTATTTTACATTGAAAAAAAAAATAGCTTTTTGGAACCAATTTCGTTTTGCAAAGTAGCTTAACATTTCTAAAAATGAATACCTACCAGATATTAAAACTGACAAAAGATGTAAACTGTTTACCAGTCGATTCGGAAAACGTGACTATGTTGCATAATCTTTATCACCTGAATTATATATTAAATAAATCCTTTTTTAATACTGAATTTAGAGGAACTTCACTTACTTTTAACTCTAGATCTGTCAAAGGAACGGCGGTCAACTGTTTTTCATTGAATTCTAACTGCTCTAATATTTCGTAACCGCTAGGGAGAACAAGCTTTGCCCTCGGTACTTTCCCATAACTGAATCTCACCTATGAAGAAAAACATAATTAAAATATGTATATTTATTTTAAGCAAAGATTTCTTACATTCATCTTAAGCTGTTCAGGACTGTATGAAGAAATTATTATTATAACTGGTATTCACCTCCAATACAGAAGATAATCTGTTGCCATCAGCATTATGAGCTCGAAAGGCATGTTAATCCCGAATGGGGTATTACTCTCGAAATGGAATTTAGCGTTGAATATGCTACCGTGAAAGACAGAAATTGGAGAATGTCGACTTTCACCGGAGAATATCAACATTCACGAAATACGTCGAATATTTCACTACATTCTTGTATATTCGGACCCTCACCTGTGTATGTCGACAATCACAGATATGCTCTGGTGAAAGTCGAATACAGAGGTCATAATACAGTGCCATAATAGTTTAAGTTGTTGCAATAAATAGGATTTGAATCACATAATTTAGTAAGTTTTTTATGACTTATTTTATTTTCTCATTTAGAACGTACTGTATAATTAAGTAAGTTTTTACTTCTATTAATTTCCTTTCTCATTTTGAATGTAGAGTGTTTTAAGTTCTCATGTTTTTAAGTTCTTATTTCAAGTCTAAGTGCGTTTATACGCGACTGAATAACGGAGAAGAAAATATAATATTGTTATATGTTCAACATTCACCATTAGTACATGGTGAATGTCGACATTGACCGAAGTCAGAAATAAGAGTATTTGGAAAATATTTCGGACATACACCAAGAGACTATGTGAATGTTGACATTCACCGGTGAAAGTCGACATTCTCCAGATTTCAGTGTTTCACCGTAACAAATACATTTTATAATTTTTCAAATTGTTGCCACCTAATATTATTGCCCTGTATTACATTTAAAAAAATTAAATAATGAAGATTCTGCATGAATATATGAATATTTCTCGCAATGTGAAAAAACAACGGTACCTAGAGCCATCCAGTTTTGAATAACGTAGTCCTCCACCCGAATATGGGTACCTTGAAGCCCGAATTTCGAATCTTATTATCTATTTCATATTTTGCAAATTTTAAAAGAATTTTTGATTAAAAAACATCACGATTTCAAAGCGAGCTGTGGCATCACTAAGGAATAAAACATTTTTATTTCATCGCGTGAGGCTGTCTATCGGAAATGGTACAGATATACTGTTTAAAGAAAGTTTTGTAAATTCATTGTAGTAAGAAAACTAATGACGTATGATGAATTTAAAATATGAAAATTAAATAAAGAATAAAGAAATACGAATAATCGATACGATTAATTAAGAAAATACTGGAAAAAAAAATTGTACGCTAACACTTAATACTGCTTCGGAAACTTTTAACATATAGAGCTATGCTACTTTAAAAATTTTTGTAATTTTTCTGTTTAATTATATACGGCATAAGTGCGAAGAAAATTATGCTTAATAATAAAGCTAAAAAGATAAAAAATAGCTTTGGTTTATTTAATTATGGCAAAGCACACTAGGGCTATCTGCCTAAGGTGAGGGATGTCTTCGTGGAAGACTTTCTAAGAGAAACTGACTCGTATACACGTTACACATGGGGAAAACCACGAAAACGCCCATGCAGCCAGCCCGTTCGCGGGATTCGAACCTCAAACCGAACTGCCAGTGTTAAGCGGCTTTACCCCTCGCCCGTTGGTGGGCCGATTAAAAAAAAAGGGGGTTCGAAGGATCGTAACAGCAGACTGGTAGACTGCGAGCTCAGCGAGAGCGTTAAAAACCTTAACAAACCCTCTTGGGTGATCGTTAAAATCGGATACCTTTCAGTTTTTCTTTAATGAGATTTAATATCACTTATCAATCCTTATACCGCTACCTATTAAATGCATAATGCTGTGAGACTTAAAATCTCCAGGATTATTTTCTTGTATACTATATTTCTAAGAGGCTTTCAGTAAAGACGAGGGAGTAATTTTTACGTATTATTAATCAACATTAAATCCCGAACACGGACACTAAATTAGCTCATCTGAAAAGTACTCTATTTCACAAGTTCTGTAGTTAAGATTTAGCTGCAGGCAGCATCAGGAAACCAGGAATTCATGTAAAATAAATTTCATTTAACGTACTTTGTTAAAGTATTCAAATGTATAAATAAAATCAAATGCTAAATAAAAAAAATTAAAACTTTTTCTAAATTGATTTATGTTGCCTGTAAATTAAACGTTATTTTAAACTGTAACTGTGAAGCAAATAACACCAACAAAGATTTCTCAAATGTAGTTCCTTTGCGTGTAACTTTGTTAAGGTTGTTCTGCTTTAGCAACCCCTCTCAACTTATTTATATTAAAAAAATCTCTCTATATTCCTGTAAATAAAAACTAAATGATTTCTTCGATGATTCTTTTCTATAACAAATATACGTCATTCCGTGAAAAAAAGACTCCCGAAAATATTCTTTCTATGGCATATAACCCCTCCCCGAAAATAAATAATTCTGTTTTGGAAATATCCACTTCCTGTTCGGAGAAAATCTACAAAATTAAGAAAATTCCTTCTTTAAAAGCAAAATAATCAAGTGTTCTTTTGTATCTAAAAGTGTTGTAGTTTAAAAAGCTAATTTATGTACAAAACTCTGCTTAGATGTCATCTCACCAAGACCAGATTAAAATAATTCGAAACCTTAAACACAGTATTCGCCGGGGTTTGTCAAAACCCATTATTTGTATGAGAAAAAAATATAATTGCAAAATTAACAGATGGCTTTAAACCTCCTAGAATCTAGGATCCTGTTCGTCTAGCTTTTAAATCAAGAGCTTGATTATTTAAGTTTATTCAAGTCCTTTGATTTAAGTTTATTCAAGTCCTTTGATTTAAGTTTATTCAAGTCCTTTGATTTAAGTTTATTCAAGTCCTTTGATTTAAGTTTATTCAAGTTCTTTGATTTAAGTTTATTCAAGTTCTTTGATTTAAGTTTATTCAAGTTCTAATACTCCTCACAAAAATCCACTATAAAACTTTCGTAGTAAAATAAAATTATCACCATTCTCCAGTGATGATTGTTTTCCCCAAAAGGAACAATAGGCAGCACTGTCCGTTCCATCAAACCGTTGACGATAGTGGCACGTGCCCAACAACAACTTCCTAGTACTACGAATCCCACGGGCTGTTCGATAATGTTCCACACAGCTGTTTCGTCCTCTGGCTTGAGAGCAAACTTTTCCAGTTGTTCTGTGAAAATAGATAAAAAATATTTCAGTTAGGCACTGATGTATATTTTAATATTAAAACATTTTATGCACGAAAACATTACAATTTTTTTTAATAAAGTACATTTTTTAAACTCAACTCCAAATAAAACAAAAATTTAACACGAAATTCTTAGAATTTTTGGTTCCCAGTTTCCAAATATTATAAAAGCTATATATTAAATATGGAATTAAATTATGCGACAGAATGTTTTAAATTGTGCGCTCAAGGTGGAAACATGACCAAACATTTTGTTACAAAGCAGATTAAATTATAAACATATTTGTGGCAACACAAACTTTCTGATGACTATTTCAGAAAGCAGCTATATTATGTAGTCCGCTGTAAAAATGTTGGAAGATCATTGCCTTTAAAATAAATAATTTATACCAATTCTTGCAACAGTCGCATATTTGAATATCTTATGGGTTTTAAGGTGTACGAGTCCACTTAACAATGAAAAACGTTAATTCTAACACTTTCTTTCACTTGATAAAATTTCAATTATTTTAAGCGTCTAACTTGTAGTTTCAGCCGCACAGACGGTTTAGTGATTGGAGAGCGGACCGCTATACCAAAGGGCCGAGTTCGAATGCTGGAGAAGGCATGGTTTATTTGTCCGTTCTCTCATAGGAAGCAAAGGTGTGTATTGAGAATACGGCAAAGCCCACTAGGGCTATCTGCCTAAGGGGAGGGATGCCTTCGTGGAGGACTTTCTAAGGGAAACTGGCTCGTATACACGTTACACATGGGGAAACCACGGAAACGCCCATGCAGCCAGCCTGTTCGCGGGATTCGAACCTCGGACCGAACTACCAGTGTTCAGTGACTTTACCGCTCGGCCGCTGGTGGCCCTAGGAAGCAAAGGTACCCCCCTATTAGATGCGTTCATAATAAACTGACCACCGCATCTGGCCTTAGTAGTGGCCAACGCCTGAGGAAGGCGTTGGAAATAAACCACGAATCGTACGCTTTGGATATCAGATTACATCCATTAGCTAGCTATCCTTCTAACAGCTATAGTTATCCAATTAGCATTCTTAAATTTCACTCTAACTATACAAATTAATAAAATAAAAAATAATTTAAGGTATCCGACTACGTTCGATACCCTAATTTTGAAAAAGTGTACAAATAAATTTATTTTTGGTGTTAATTAGCAGAATGCTACCAAAAAGTGATAGAAACAGTTTATAAACATATTATTAAAATGTAATTTTTACTTTTTTCTCACATTTTAAATCAAAAATATATTCAAATTTCAGTATCACGAGATTAGTTCCAAAAAAATTATTTATCAATATTTTACTTTTATTTTTTCACTTATATTTATTAAAGCATAAGGAATAAAATGACCTAAAATCTAAGTCATAAAGCAAAATGTCTATTAAAAATACCCGTTTGAGTACATACACTGGCTATTTTTCGAGAAATTTTTCTCTCTTCATTTACAAAATTGTCTGCAAAAATCTTAAATATGTATATAAACCTAAACTTTTAGTCCATTTAATTCCCAATATTCTATAAAATATGTGTGGGAAGTATCATAAAATTGCTATAGTAATATTTTAAGTTACGGTGTTTTTCGTATTAGAAATGTTGACAAAAAAACAAATTTAAAGTTTTATCTTTAGAAAATATATTAGAAATTGATATATTACATTGCTAAAAGTGCCCTGTTTTGTATATTGCACCTACTGTTAACTCTATCTTAAAAGATTTTTTTCTTTAAAGAAGCTCTTAATTTTTTTTTCTTGTGATTTTTGCGGAATGTAAAGAATGCCGTTTTGAATCGACAATCCGAGTTTTATCAATACAGTTATATCCCTTGATAGTATATTGTTCATGTTTCATATTAAGTTTCCCAATATTTTTAAGTAATTAATTGATGTTGATACCTTTTGTTTTGACGACTTCGCAGCATATGTTCCATTAAATAAAAACAAGATATTCAACCTTGTTTTTCGGCTATATTTTTGGATTTATTCAAGTGGTAAACAGTATAATCTGGTTCTATTTCTTGGAAAAGCTCGGCTAATCTTCCATTTGTTATGAAAACTTCTGTTTTAAGCTCAATAATACAAACCTTACCAGTGTTATCATTCGCACTTTTCAATAACTTTTACGTCACTTCTTAGTAGAATCAAAGAGTAAAAAAAAAAAAAAATTGAACCATGTTTCTCAGAGATATCTTTCATCAATATCGTCCGACTTATTTATTAAATCATCCCCGTATGAACTCTCTACTCTGCGTACGTAGTGCGCATTAAGAGGTAAAAGGTCGCTCTAATAACTTTACGCTAGATACACTGCAAAACTACCATCAGTCGGATATGCAGAACAGGTTACTTTGTTCTTTAAGCTGTTATTATATCATTTACGCTAAAGGATCGGGCACAACAGTAAAGAAGTGAGAATCTAAAAATTTTATATTACAATTTCATGCCGATAAAGGCTCACCATTCAGTTTTCAAAAAATTAAAAAATCTGACGTGGACACCACATGACTTCCTTGTACGGAATATTAAATTATACGCATTTTTTTTTCTTGAATTTCATTTAAATTGATTGGATTGAATTAAATCTACTTCGTCGACAGCGCATAAAGCACAATAGAAAATAAATGCACTCTTTAAAATTCACTATATTTGTTTACTATAACGACACTCTGAATGCACAAAATTTATATCATTTGAAGAATTATCGTTGCCACATGTTCTATTCAAATACTATAATAAAGCTAGAACGGTGTATGAAAGAAATTAAGCAAACAAAACACATAAGAAACAGTTTTCACAGACGATTTAGTATTTCTCATTCAATTAATTCAGTTCTCACTTCGCGACAAGGCAAAAATACATAAAAACTCAAAATATCCGTAATAAAAATTACGAAGTAAATCTTAAACACTTATTTCCTCGAAAAAATTCCAGAAATGTTTAAGCATGATTTAATTCGCAATAATAAATGAAGGCGTTATTTTTGTTGTTGCGAAGCTTAGTCTCTCTAGATTGGCAACAAATCTACAATTCTGCTGTTTTCAAATGTAAACAAATATGTCCGCCATGTTATTCAAAACTTAACCGCACTTAAACAGCTTTTAAATTGTTGATAATTGTACAAATTTTGCTTCCAGAATTACGAAAGGCATAAAAACCTTAACCGGAAGATAAAAACAACATAATTCAATCATTTTTAAAGCAAAAAATGTACAATTTACAAACATATAAGAGTAAAGAAATTGAGATCACTGTGCCGAGTAACAGAGTGAATATATATATATAAATATAGTATTTATATACGTTTGATGCGGCCGATTACAAGCAAAATACGAGGTGCACATCTACATGTTATAGCAGTCTTATATACAAAATTTCAATGTTCTGTGGCTACTCGTTTTCGAGTTATGTGAGATACGTACATTCGTAACAGACGCCACGAAAAATTCTCTTCAGAATTAATTTTAAAGCAGTTTTACCATTTTTTTTGGAGGAAACGAGTATTTTATTCTGTCCTTACGTACAGATATCACGCAAAAACATCGTTAAATTGCATTCGATAGTGGTCAAAATGGATATTTTCGTTGAAATATGCTGCCTGAAACTTTTCGCGATTACGATACTTCCTTTTTACTTCGTACAAGGAAGTAAAAATGATTAAAAATATACAAGATGAAAATGATATGATTAAACTGAAACCAGATTTTGATACGCAGACTTCTGTTCAATACTAAAAACAATTTTAAATTAAGTACATATACTATAGTTTAGGAGTTAGACCCTCCTTCTGAAAATTTCAAGTTATGGAACATAAAGGCCACTATTTAAAATAAAAAATGCCAAATTGCAGGAAAAATCGTGCTGCGATACTATATCAAAAATAAACGCCGCTTAAAACCTTACGCGGTTATTTGAGTAGCTGGAAGCTAGACTGTTCATTTCACTGGATCACTTCTGCACAAGGCTTGATGCTAAACCCGCTTCCTCGGAAGTATTTAATAAAAAATATATGTAATGTATGAATTCTTCAATATGTAAAAAATTAGGCATAATATAATGATTAAATCTACAGGGAACGTTCCTATTATATGAAATAAATAGGTTTCATGAAACTAATTTGCAAAACGGAAAGCCAAGTAAAACTGTTCCGTCTTCAGCAATTCTCCCTTTTGATTTTACTTGTAATTATGCGAAGCATTTGCGTTGAAACGACCAGCAGTACAATGGACTTTAAAAACGCAAATAATAAAAGAACAACATAAAATACAACTTTACTGAACAAAATAAAATTATAAGAAATTCCCGGCAAAGTTTCTCATCATTCGAAAGTTCTCATATTTTAGTTTTTTAATCTTTTCATGAAACCATTTTCCCGGTAGCAAATGTGTTGAATTGTTAAACCCGATTTCAAATCTCAAAGAAAGATAAAAATCTCATCTTGTTTCTAGATCTAATAAAAGAAAATAAATAAGTATTCGCGTTCCACGATTCTAATAGGTTTCCATACCGAGCAATGAAAACAGAACAAAATTGTAATAATAAATATCTCCAATGAATTTCAAGTTGGGCTTTTTTCTCTACGATCGTTTGTCAAGTTACATGCACACTCAGCAACGGAGGTGGGTAGAGGAGGAATGCTTTTAGTTTCGATGATCCCCATGGAACTTCGTTTATTTTGGAGATTGAGTAAACAAGCCGTTTGGAGAATGTTGACCTTCCTGCTTTCTGACATCTTTCTCGATGCAGGTGGTGGAGGGATTTCAATCTTTAATTTTCAAACACAGTAACTTTCGCGTTTGATTCAGAGAACTTGGTCCTATAATTTATTCGAGAAATTGAATCACAGACGGTAGAGGTAAATGAAATTGCTGAAATGACTTCCGTTCTGAACGAAAACTCTTCGCCATATAAAGGCCTAGGTTTCATTAGAATTTTTTGTCCTCAAGATGAAAATTACGTTCTCGTCGAAACTTTTATAGATTC